CAAGCCATTCTCTTTTAAATATGAAATTAACACCCTATGTCTGGTTTTTTAAAAAGTCTTACTCTTTCTATACCTAGTTTGTTAATTCCCCTTTTCTTCGCCTCCAGTGCTTGTGTTAAGGGCCTTATGTTTTGACAGCAGTGCAGTGGAATGGGATATGTTCTGAGCCCTGACATAGTTTATGAAATAAACTGTGAATGAATAACACGAATATAGTTTTAACCCTTGCAGATGAATAAGAATTTGACCTGTTGTAAAATTATATTATTGTAACAGTTTTTTTCTCTCGCACCTTTCAACCATTGTATTTTGGTATTTGAATTTTTACCAAAAATTGAATATTATTCCCAGGTTATCTGTACTCTGAGTGTGTAGAGATTTTAGGTGTGCATTTAGAAAATAAACACACTCCGTAACATCTATTAGACATTCATCTCTTTTCTTCCTCTTTTGCTGCTAAACCTTTCTCATAGGTAGACAGATTCTCTAAAGTTGAGAAAACTTTTCTTCTATTATGTTTTAATTGTGGTTTATCTGCCCTGTTGGTTTCATATCTGTTGTATCTGATTTTGTTTTCTGCCTTTCCCATCTACTCATTCAATATACTTATTCAATATAGTCATTTCTTATTTTTCTTGATATTCTGGGATGGAATCTCAAGTTAATAATTTTCTATAGTATTTTAAGATTTTTTTCTTTTTCTAAATTATATTTTCTAATTGCTTCTAATTTTATTTATTTATTTTTTTTTTTTGTACCGGGGATTGAACTGTGGACCTTGTGCTTGCCAGGCAGGCGGTGGCACCACTGAGCTAAATCCCCAGCCCCTTAATTTTAATTTTTAATTCAGTTGCATTCTGGTTTGTTCTTTCATCGGGCACTTGTTGAATAACTATTGTACTGACATTCTTCTTGGTGTTTTCAGCAGAACAGAGAAATAATTCCTTTGTTACTTTAGTAGAAGCAAACAGATAATAGCAACACCAATAGCATATGTATCAATGAAACATCTACAGAGAAAAGCAAAGTAGGGAAAAGGAGTTTGGGAGTTTTGTGAGTTTTTGAGTCTAAGGCTGACCAGACCTACAGGGAGTGAGGGAGGAAATGTGCTTCAAATAGAGCCTGTGCAAAGGTCCTGGGTAAGACTGCACCAAAACTGAGGACCAGTCCTAGAATCCCTGGGACACCTGGTCTCTCAGAATGGGGATGGGAGACCTGCTAGGGCTGGTTTGGGGAGAGTTCAGAGACAGCTCTTCCAGAAGTTGACTTTGAAGGGTAGGAGAGGTGAAGGACAATAGCTGGGTGAGTGTGGGGACAAGGGCAGGTGCTTTCTTATTTTAAGGTGCTGATGTGACAGGGCCAGTAGAGGGGCACTGCTGAGGGGGAGATAAGAGCAGGGCCTAGGCCAGGGGCACACTCTGCAAGGAGCCCACCAGTGCATCCACAGCAATGGGAAGGCTTTGGGAGAGAGGTGATGAGACAGCACCCTAGAGACAGGAGCATGAGGGAATTGGGGAACTGAAGCATCTGTAGGTGGGCCGGGCCTTCCTCTGCAGCCAGAATGGGCAGAGCTAGGTTCAAAGTAAGGTGGAGTTTTACCAAGTGAAGGTGACAGAGAAGTAAAGGGTTGAGGACCCTTTGCAGAGGAGAAATAGGAAGGGACAGCCGTGAGGGACAGGACATACAGGGTCTAGGTCCCTGGTGACCCAGAAGTTCAGAGGCATAGTTAGGGTAGGCCTCGGAGCTGGAGCCAGCATGATACAGTAACTGGGAGGCCCAGCCAGAGAACACAGCAGCTCATGCTGGAGCCATCGGCCAAGCGGTGGATAGAAAGGAGCAGAAATGATGGAGAGGCAAGGGGTTCCCTGTGTCTGCTGGGACAAATGGCCACACAGAGAGCAGCTTGGACTGCAAAGATTGTTGCTGATGGTTCAGTAGGGCCGATGGCCTATGATTCTCACAGCTGAGACTGCTGTGATCAGGTGGCTTCCTTTTGTGCTGCAGCAAAATTGGTCCTTGCTTCCTTAGTCTCTGAGCCCACATTCATCTCACAGCCCTTCCTGCACCCTTACAGCTTCCAGGGACATCTCACTGCCTGACCTCTGTGCACAGCTCTCTCCCTCATCCTTTGTCACTTGGCCACCTAAGGGCCTTGGTGATTACATTTTGCTCCTGCCTTGCAGTCCGGGATCATCTCCCACCTTGTCCTCACCTCAGTCCATCTGCAAAGCCTCTTCTGCTGGGTGGGAGGACATATTCACAAGCTCTAGGGTCTCTGCTGCCACTCAGGCTGAGCTCTGAGGGTACTGTGGTCCCACCACCCCTCAGGGACCTCTGTCCTCAGCTCTGCCCACAAGCACCGGCCCCACCTTCTAGGGAGGCTACTCCCAGCTGGGTGCTAAGGATGCCCAAGCCTGTTTCCTGGCCCAGATGTGTTCCCTGCTTCTGCCCCCTTGCAGCCTGCCCTATCCATGCGGCCATTCTCCAGGACCCTGGGATCTGCCAGCTCCTGGAAGAGAGGAGTCTGCAGATGACCAGAGAGGGAAGACTGCAGGATTAGGAGTACCCTAGAGAATCAATCAGTCTGTCTCTGCCTTTGCCTCTCTCTCTCTCTCTCTCTCTCCCCCCCGCCCTCCTCAGTCTCCTCGGCTACCTGACCAAGTATGACTGCTCCAGTGCGGACATTAACCCCATTGGTGGAATCAGCAAGACTGACCTGAGAGCCTTTGTCCAGTTCTGCATGGAGCACTTCCGGCTTCCCGCGCTGCAGGGGTGAGTGTGTACCCACCAGGCTGGGGATGCAGCTCAGGCCTCCGGGCACCTCACCTCACTTGGCCACCTTGCATATCTCCATGTCCCCTGGGGAAAGCAGTGTTCCGCCAGGCACTTGAGGTTCCGTAGTCAGGCCACCCTGTCTGTCACTGCCTGGCCAGATGGTGGTGTGTCCCTTGTCTGTCTCTTGCCCTTGCTACCTCTTTCTTGCCAGCTTGAGGCCGAAGGGACCCATGTAGGTGCCTGGTGCCCAGTGATGTTTCTTTTTTCTTTCTTCCTTTTTTCCCCAGTGTTTGGGCTTCAACCCAGGGCCTTATGATTGAGCTATATCCCCAGCTGTTTCTGGCTAAGTCACTAAGTTGCCCAAAGGGCTCAACTTTGCTATCCTCCCTCCACAGCTGGGATTACAGACATGTACCACCATGCCTGGTTTGTATTTTGTTTTGTTCTGTGGTACAGGGGATTGAACTCAGGGCCTTTATACTGAGCTACATCCCTTTTTTCATTTTTATTTTTATTATTTATTTATTTTTTGAGACAAGGTCTCACTAAGTTGCTAAGTTACCTGGGCTGGGATCCTCCTGCCTAAGCCTCCCAGAATATTGGGATTACAAGTAAAATATACTTTTAGTCATCCCTTGATATCTTAGAGTTGAATAGCCCTAGCAAGTTTATAACAACAAAGCAATCCATGTTCCAGTTATCTTTATCCCAGATTTCTGATCTCTGTAGGGCCGTAGATTTTAACCTTGTAACTTCCTACTCTCATATTCACATCTTCATTTTTTTTTAATTTTTAAATTTTTAGTTTTCTGTTTGTTTTGTGAGACAGGGTCTCGCTATTTAATCCAGACAGGAGTTGAACTCACGGTATAGCCCAGGCTGGCCTTAAACTCTGTGACAGTCCACCTGCCTTAGTGCCCTGAGTGCTGGGATTAGAGGTGTGCACCACCACGCCACCACACCTGGCTCCTGTTTATCGATGGAATGATACCTGGAGCCATTCTTGCCCCATCGTTCCTGCATGGGGAATGTCCTTCACCTTGCTTGTCCTCCCTGGGGACTTGGGGTTGTCACAAAGGGATATATTGCCAGCCACTGGTGGGTAGAGGTCAGGGCGCTCCTAGGCGTCCTGCAGAGCAGAGAGCTACCCAGCCCCATTGTCCTCAGACAGACACTGTGCTGTGCCTCCCATCAGGGCACCCAGCACCATGAACCTCAGCTGTACTCTGCCAGCAGTGGCCACTTGCTGGGACAGTGGGTCTGGGGTCCTCAGTGATCGTGAGTGCAGCAGCAGCCTAGTGACTGACTTCTGTGTGTCTCGATCACAGCATCCTCTCAGCGCCAGCCACTGCAGAGTTGGAGCCCTTGGCCAACGGGCAGGTGTCCCAGACAGACGAGGTAATGCGTGGCTCTGTCTGGTGCCTTTTCCCCTTGTCCCTGGTGTGGGAGGGTCTCCTGTGCTCAGTGTGACCCTGGAGAAGATTCACTCATCTGTTTCACGCTGGCCTCAAATCTTCAGGGCTGCCAGCCATGGTAAACATCTTTAATGAAGGCTGGAAGGAGTCACTGGGGATCCTCTGGCCTCTTGCAGGCACAGAGATTTGCTCCTGTATTTTCTTCCAAAAGTTTTAGCCTTTACACTGAGGTCTGTGGTCTTACTGCGTTGACTCTTATGTATGGCATGAGATAAAGGTCCACTTTGTTCTTATGCCTTTATAGAGTTGAATAGATTTTTCAAGGGATTTTTTTTTTTTTTTTTTTTTTTTTTTGGTCAGTGCTGGGGATGGAACCTGGAGCCTCACGTGTGGGAGGCAAGTGTGCTACCACGGAGCTACACCCAGCCCACTTTCCAGAGTTCAGTGCTCTAGAGGCCATAGTGGGCTGGGGCCTCTTCAGTCTTGCTGGGCAGTTGGTCTGTACTGTCCCTTAGCCTCTGTCCCTTGCTGACAGTGTCTGCTGGCCTGTTATCCAACGTGGAGTATGCAGTCTCCACTGTTGACTGATACCTGGAGCCATTCTTGCCACATCTTTCCTGCATGGGGAATGCCCTTCACCTTCAGCTGCTACTGTTGAAATGGAGGAGCTAAGACGTCACACTAGGCGACCCCCACTTCAGGCAGAGAAACCAGGAATGCAGCAGCTTCTTGTGCCAGAACCTGTTCAGTCCTAGGGATTCCATGGGGAAGACAGTAGATGTGGCCCCTGCTCTTAAAATGCTGTAAGGAGTGCTCGCTTCGGCAGCACATGTACTAAAACTGGAACGACACAGAGAAGGTTAGCACACCCCTGCGCGAGGATGCCAGCAAATTCATGATGCGTTCCGTATTTTTGGTTTTTACTTAATAAAAATAAAATGCTGGAAGGATTTAACCACGATGGCTCCACAGGCTGTGGGTGCTGTGGATGCGATGGAGACAGAGGTGGTAGCAGCATTCTCGGTGTGGGTCAGGACAGGGCCCCGGGAAGGTGCCATTGGGACTGAGGGAAGGCCAGGCTGGCCAGCTGGGACACAGCCAGAGGCAGGGGCCCTGTCGCTGCCTCTCTGATGATACGCTGGAGCTTGGCAGAACTGAGAAGGAACTGCAGCTGTGACAGTGAATAAGGCGGTGACTGGTGTGAGCCATGGTACAGAGTCAGCCCTTTGAAAAGTAGCTTAAAGCACTCATGGTCTGGCTGCATAAGGCTGGCGGTATTCAGTGGCTTCTAATAGGACCCACATTTCTGAGTTTGTCCCTTTCCTCTGAGCCCTCCACACTTCAGGGAGGGTAGGGGATAGGGTCTATCTGCTCTGTTAGGTTCTTGTTTTTGCCATAACAAATGACCATAAACCAGGTGGCTTAAGGCAGTAGGACTGCATTCTCTCCCAGCCCTGGAGGCCACAGGTCTGACACCAACGTGTGGGGGGCACTTAGGTCCACATGAAGGCCTCGGGAAGGACCCTTCCTGCTTTTCCTGGCTTCTAGAAGCTTCAAGCATTACTTGTGACCATGTCACTGTCATCTCTCCTCAGTCTCCATATGGCCTTCTCCTCCTCCTCTTTTCCATGTTTCTCCTCTGATCCTTTATTAGGACACTTGTCTTTGGACTTAGGGCCCATCCAACATCTGAGTTCACAACATCTCAAGGTCCTGAACTTAATTACAGCTGTAAAGATCCTTTTTCCAAATCCGGTCCTGTTCACAGGAGCCTGCACTTGCGGGATGAACACGTCCTCTGGTGGCCATAGTTCCCCCCTGTAGTCCTCAAGCCCAATATCTGGCTCATTTTTCCAAATCACATCCCCAGTTTGGCCAACCAGTGCTGGAAAGTAGCGCTGGCATCTGTTTCAGGCCCTAGGGAGTCTCCTCATAGCCTGGAGCCTCCAGTTCCCACCCCAGCTCCCTTCCAGCTCTGGCTCATGGTGTCCTGGAATGGATCTTTTCCCCCACAGGATGACATGGGGATGACATACTCAGAGCTCTCAGTGTACGGGAGGCTCAGGAAGATAGCCAAGGCGGGGCCCTTCAGCATGTTCTGCAAGCTCCTCACCATGTGGAAGGATACCTGTACCCCGAGACAGGTAAGACTACACATGATGTCCTGCAGACAAAGGCTGGCCAGGCAGAGCCCTGTGTGCAGTGGAGCAAGTGAATGCCATGTGACCCAAACATAGCTACTTGTGTCCCATGCAACAGTACTTCCCAGGGCTCCCTTTTCACCAGTTCAGACCCTCCCCAGGTGAGACTCAGCCACACCAGGTGCATACACACACCAAGCCCCTGCTTTTAGAATGGCAGCATGGAGATTTTGACATCAGAATATGACATTTCTACTTTTCTGCTGGTCATGAGCCTTGTTAGGATCGAAGTGTACAGATGTGCTGGTCCCATAGCACCTTGTGAAACGTGTGTGCGGACCCACTCATGTCCCCTAAAGCAGAGCAGTGGGGTTGGACCCTGGGACTCCACAGTCTTACAGCTCAGCCAGTGACCACCCAGCCCTGACACTGTCCACTCCTGCCACCAGGGAAGGCCACCTACAGGGCTGTCAGCCACTAGCCACTTTCTTACATAGTCCAGCGTGGGAATTCTTGCCTCTGGTCTTTCTGGACTCACTGACTTGAAGCCTGTGTGTTATGCTCCCACCAGGTGGCTGACAAGGTGAAGCAGTTCTTCTGGAAGTACTCCGTGAACAGACACAAGATGACCACGCTCACGCCCGCGTATCACGCAGAGAGCTATAGCCCTGACGACAATAGGTTTGATCTTCGGCCTTTCCTGTACAACACACGCTGGCCGTGGCAGTTCCGTTGCATCGAGAGTCAGGTGCATTATGACCAGGGCCTTTCTCTGTGTGGTTTAGAGAGTACATGAGCCTTGGGGATCGAGGGCTTTTCTCTGCTCACAGAGGCATATTTTACTATCTTTATTTCTTCAGAGGGGCAAGCGTGTTTAAAGGTTTTTGTATATTGCTAATTGACAGAAATTGAATATATGTGTTTATGGTGTAAAGCATGACGTTTAGAAGTATGTGTGACTTAATTTTTTTATTTGTTTATTTTTTTATTTGTTTGTTTGTTTTGGCACTGGAGATCAAACTCAGGTCTTTGTGCTTAGGAGGCAGGCAGCAGAACCACTGAGCTAAATCCCTGGCCCTTGAATTTTTTTTTTTTTTTAAATTATGCAGTGAAAACACATTGCCATTAATCCCCCTCAGAAAACTTCCCCTCAGTTCAAACACACTAATCCCATCATTGTTGCCACTTCCTGAAGTAATTCTGGCCGTCCCCTTCCATGAATATCTTAGCTGTGCTGTCTTGGCTGCAAATGCATTCAAAATGTTTATCCTTCGTAGTCATTCTGGCTTTGGGAAAGAGCAGAAGTTGCACAGTGCCAGATCCAGTGAAAAAGGTGGATGAGGACACACTGCCAAGTGGGTTTTATTTGTTGTTTTTTTTTTTAGCCTGCCTCTGAGCAGTCAGTATTTTTGACCAAACCTCATAAAGACACTCATGAAATTGGACTTCCAGTGCTGCTTCAAAAAGTGGCAAAAGCAATGGGAATAAAGGTCTTCAAAGTAAGGGCAGGTATTTTGAGGATTAATGGCAATGAATATTTTATTATAATAATTTTTTAAAACATTCACTGTATCTTTTAATCAGTCCTTGTATATATACACTGTGGAGTGGGTAAACCAAACTAACATATGCATTACCTCACTTTTTGTGATAATAACACTTAAAATCTGCTTTTGCCACAATTTTCTAGCATAAACGCATTGTTATTAGCTACGGTCACCACGTTATGCAGTAGATCTCTATACTTTTCCCTTCTGCCCAACAGAAATGTTGCATCCCTTGACCAGCATCTCCCAGCACCTCCCCCTTAGTGCCTGGGAACCGCCATTCTACTCTCTGCTTCCAAGAAAGAATACTGTGCCTTAGATTGCGTGGTGAATGAGGTCCGGTGCTGTTTGTCTTTCTGGGCCTGGCTTGTTTCACATAGCATGATGTCCTCTCAGTTTGTCAGTGTCATCCCAAACACAGGATTTCCTTCTTTTAAAGGCAGAATGGTTTTCCATTATGTAGATAAACTATATTTTCTGTAGCCATGCATCCATTGGTGGACCCTGAAGTTCCCATCTCTTGGCTATTGCAAACGGTGCTACAGTGAATGTGGAGTGGTCGTACATATGGATTTCACTTCCTTCGGAAGCCTGGGATTGTTGGAGCATATGAGAGATCTGTTTTGTAATTTTTAAACTGTTTTCCGTAGTGGCTGTGCTAATTTACAAGTACATCTGGAGTGACGGGAGTTTGGCTTGTGCTATTTTTGACCATGCTGCATTTACTGGTGTTGAGTGTGCTAAAGTTAGTAGCTATACATCACTTTATGAAAGTGGTGCCAGTCACTGGCACTTCTAAACAACTGGAGTATCCAGATGGCTTCACATCTTCTAAACCACCACATGAATTAATGAATTAATAATAGAATAAAGGAAGGACTAGTAAAGTCAATACAAAAGCAAGTTTAGGTCCTCTCCTCCTTCCCTTTCTTAGACCCAGTGCAAATGTACCACAGGCAGTAAGTTCGACGTGGCACCCCTTTCCAGCCCAGGATTGATAGCCAGCTAGTTGCCTGGGCATGCTGTAGAGAGTGTAAAGATGGTGAATTATAGTGAGTGCTCTGTGCAGCTTCAGAGTTGGTCTGACAGTTGGTAAAGGTGCCCTGAGCAGCCGATGTGCAGACTGAGGGTAGGACCATGGGGACACTGTGTGCCATCTACACAGTGATTTGCCCCCCAGGGGCATCAGGCAATGCCTGAGTGTACTTTTACTTGTCACAACTGGAGTGGGGTCAATGCTGCTGGCATCTAATGGGTAGAGTGGGGGGATGCTATGAACATCTTGCAGTGTCCAGGATGCGATTCCCATCGTCACCCAGCAACGAGTGATCCCAACCCTCATGTCAAGATGCTGAGGTTGAGGACTGACCCACAGGGCTGAAGTCCTTGGGGATTCTTATTACAACAAGGAGACTCTGTCCCTCTCATTTGGTGGAAAGGAGTTTCCTGGCTGAACAACCTAGAGGATTCCAGTATAAGCCAGTGTAAAACAGAGGGCCAGGCAGGGACAGGGAAAGAAAGTGTGCATCTCCACTGTCCCCAGGTGGAGCCCACACCTTGCTTGCTGCAGCAGCCCATGTCCACCTGCTGGCCCATCCTTCCTCCCAGCCTCCCTGTAGGAAGGGGACAGCCCAGTCTCAAGGACAGGAAGAGTGGGAAGGAAGAGCTGTGCCAAGCCGTGGCTTCTTTAGCAGGAGTTCAGGGCTTCGCTCTTGCCCAGGCATGGGTAGGTGAAGATAAAAATATCTGTCATTATCCCATACACGGTGACCTCCTCTTCCCTGAGGAAAAACGTCCTCTTCCCCACCTCCACTGTGGATTCAGAAGATGCCATTTGGTAATCTGCATTCTCAGTGCCAGCTGTGAGGCCATTGGTTTGTAGGCCGCTGTCCATCGGCAGCACAGATGTTGAGTTTGTGCGGTGACTGATTTCGTGGGCTTCTCTCTCCAGGTTCTACAGCTTGAAAGGAAAGCGATGCAGGACCTGGATGGCCCAGACTGAGGGTCACACCTGCCTGAGGCCTCCCTTCCCTGGGGTCCTTAGTGTGACGTCAGCATAGGAGCCACATGTGCATGTTTTCGTTCATGTTTGGAATGAGAGAGGTCTTTTCACTGTAATTCCCTCAAGAGAGGCTAAAATAAAGCAAATACGTTCTTTAACCTGTGGGGGAGCCCTGCTTTTCTACCCCCTGCAACCTTTGACTGCACCACAGCCCACAAGGGGTGGGAGGTGCCTCAATCCCATCAATTCAAGGTGGTCCTGAGCGGCAAACAGGAAAACCTCCTCTCCTACTCATCCTGCCTTCTTGTCTTGCATTCCAGAAGATTCCAGAGATGGTCCCTGCAGACCCCCCTTGCTATAAGTCTGCGAGGCAATTGTTCTTATACCTGTTGTATAGGAAAATGGCCTGAGGTCCTCGTGGTTGAGTGTTCCCCATGTCAGGAGGCCTTAGAAGGAGCCTTGGATCCTGAAGGCTGAGTATCTTCCATCCCAGGAGGCCTCAAGAGGAGCCCTGGATCCTTGTGGCTGAGTGTCCTCCATGGAGGAAGCCTCAGCAGGAGGTCTGTGGTTCTGTTTTAGGCCTTGGAGGAAAGCTGGGCCTGAGTCCATCCTCCCATGCCCTAGAAGTGTTGGAATAAGATGGGAGTCTCTGGTCCTTGAATGGGACCTCCCATGGTAGGCACTGAGCTCGGGGCCCCAAATCCCTCACTCCTGCTCTCAGCTAAAGGATGATCTGCCCAGTTATAGGGTAGTGTCCTTTATGGGGTTACACCCTCTCAGTTATGGGGTACAGCCCCCATTGTGGGCGGTGTCCTTCTATTTTAAAGATCACAAACACAGTTACAGGGTTGTAACCTTTCAGGGTTAAGTGGTTCCCAAAAAGATAAAACATCAGTTCCTCTCTAGCAGTACACAGCTCCTGAAGGGTCTTCCCTCAGACTCTATCAGAGACTTCCCCTAACACCTTCCAGAGAGAAGTGTGCCCTCATGTCATACCAGAGCTCACTCTGTCTCGGAAACTTTTTCACAGTCATCCTGGGGTAGTGCTAGGAGCTGGGAGACACAGGTGTCCCTCAGCACTGGAGAACCCAACCACTCTGGGCAGGACCTTTCTCTCAATTGCAAAAGCAGTTTGAGGGGACCACACACAGGGAGCCCCCGACTCACTGCACAGGAAAGCTTGCATGGCTGGAGCTCATCTGGCTCTGTGTTGTTTATTCATGGTCAGCTTGATCAAAGATCAACTTTACAGGAATTCTAGAGTCAGGAAGAGAGGGAGGCTTTGAGATGTAGCAGCACATGAGGTCAGAAATCAAGTAGAAGCTGCAGCAATGGGCCAGAAAAAATGTGCAAAGGATGAGGCCAATGGTTTCCGTTTCTCCCATGGAGAAATCTTTCTTCTCTAGGGTCAATGAAAAGCCAAGGGACAGATCAGTGCCCCCCAAAAAGCAACATGATGGAAACCTAACCTCCAATTCAACAATGTTAGGAGGTGGGGTCATTCCAAAGTAGTTTAGGCCACTAGGGCTCCACCTTCATGAATTGTTCAATGCCAGTTATAAAAGGGCTAAAACAAAATAAAAAGCAACCCACATGTGGTGGCACACACCTTTTATCTCAGGACTCTGGAAAGGAGGATCCCAAGTTCAAGTCTAGACTGGGCAACCTGGACCCTGCCCCAAAACAAAAAATAGAGAAAAGTATCTTCAGTGTGAAGGGCCTGGGTTCACTACCAGTGCTACACACACACACACACACACACACACACACACACACACTCACTCACGGGGGGGGGGGAGGTTGTATCATTCTGCAATGGCACCACCTAGGGACCCACATTTTGCAGTAAAGAGCATCGTAAGGCAAAATATTTGAGAGTAATGTTAAGCACATTGAATAAGCTAGTAGGTGTCCTTGCACCAGGGTCTTAGATACCTTTTATTGTGAAAACAAAAAATGGGGTTCATGCAGCCCCAGTATTACACATTTTTGTGCAGAACATTCTTTTCTTGGGAATTCTTGGCCTGATTAAAAGTTATGACTGAGAGAGCCAGGGTGCTCCTGTATGCCAGAGCTTCTGTAAATAAGTGAGATATTAGCATGTTACCAATAGCACCAGGAGCTGCTCGAAGGGCAGGCTAGTTGTTTAGGGATTTGACTTCTAGACACTGATTCCCAGTCTGTGTTCCTAGAGTGCATGAAAAAGGGATGTACACATCCTGACATGCAGGAGATGGCCGTAGTTGTTCCCGTGCAAAATAAATGCACCAGAGTGTTAGTGAGTGGAGAACCTACAGGAAGAGGAAATACAGATCAGATTTTTTTGGCTTCTAGCCACAAATGTGTCCCTCCTGATCCAATGGTCAGGCCAGATAACTATGCTAATCTCCATAGGTTGTGTGCAGCCGTTGGGGAGGGTGTGGATGCAGGACCATCTTTTCTGCAACAAACAATATGATCCTTCAAGACCTTTCAGTTACTTCAAGCTGGAATAAAGGCCTTGCCAGGCCTCTCCCCTAGGGATACTACTGGAGGGTGGGTCTCAGCTTTCCTGCTTGTCTCTACTCTTGTTGACCGCAGTTTCCCTCTGCTCTTTGATGCAATATGGAAGTCCCTTCAAATGCTCAGCGGGCCTCCTGGGGATGCTAGCATGCATGTGAGAGGCACACTGAAAAGACAGACCGCTGCCCTGTGCTCAGGTCCAGTGCCAGGACCTCTGACAGTTAGGGCTTCAACATATCTTTTGGAGAGACACGATACAATCCTCAAGAGTGGGCATGATGCATTGCATTTATGCTGGGCTTTCTTGTAAGAGTAATGGGATGACAGTAAAACCAGCATCTCTCTAGTACTTGTATGTGTTCTCAAATGCATAACTGCTCCACCAGGTGGAAAACAAAAGCTACCACTTACGACAAGGAACTAAAGAGTGGTTGATTAGGTCACACAGTTAATATGGGGGTGTAGTAAGGGGACCTTCTGTGACCTTCCAAAAATTCTACTGCTGGTGAGTGGCAGAGCCAAAATGGGTTCAAGTTTTCTGCTTGCAAACCCACCATTTTGCTGCACAAGGCCACCACCATTTTCCTTGGATACTAAAATCCCCACAAAGCCTCTGAGGCTGTCACTTGGACCTCACATTTCATTCTCCTCCATGAGAATATGGGAGGTAAAGTAGTGCTCACCTCCAGTGACTGCACACATAGCCCCAAGCATCCTGAACTGTGTATGTGAGGTTGGTATTGGATTCTGGAGTGATGGGGAAGGATGCAGGCTGATGTGAGGCTCCATGGAGAATGGAGGTTGAGCATACACCTCCCTCGTTCACAAGGCCAGCTGTGGGGAAAGGCAAGAAACCACATGTGAAGGATAGAATGAAATAATTCTATGGAAGAAGAAAAATACATGTCCAAGAGGCTGGAGCATGGAGGGAATGACATGTGGCATCAAAGAGTGTTTCCTGGAAGAGCGGGCACCAAAGAGTCAGTGACACAAACAGGAAGTTCATAAGGAGGCTGTTTTGGGGACTGGGGATAATAAGGACAAAGTACTTTTTGGAAGGCACAAGGCAATCAAGGGAAAGTCAGGATATACCTGGTTTTGAAACCATAAATCCACATCTGTTGCTCACCACTTGAGAAGGCCAATGACTCAAGCACCAGTTGTTGGAGACCTGGCAAACCAAAGATGAAAGCCATCACCAACAAATCCAAAGCCTCTTTGAGGTGTATTTTTCTTCTTCCTTAGAACTGTTTCGTTCTGTCCTTCATGTGGTTTCTTGCCTTTCCCCACAGCTGGTCTTGTGAATGAGGGACATGTGTGCTCAACCTTTAGATTTTTTCTGTAAATCTAAAGATTAGACTTAAAGATTAGAAAGTCTTGTGACTCCTTGTCATGTTCCTTTTCTCAGGATTAGTTAATTCTGCCCTTAATTATTTGGATATAAAGGCATCTTTTCCGTGCAGAACAGTAAGATAATGAAAGGCTACTTTTCCCTGTAGGATGTGAAAGAGAGAGAGAAAAGCAACTTTCCCCAAGTGGGTTATGTGAAAAGACACCAGAGAGCAGTTTTTAACCCATTAGATGGCTTCAATCTATGGTGTTATCAGCAGCACAGCTAGTAGGAGACTAACAATGTATTGCCAATGTGTGGCCTCCAAAATTAGTGACTATTAAAAGTCAAATAAGAGAAAGAGAAGCTATAGAATTTATTTAGTTTTTTTTTTCCTTGCTAACAAGTTTGACAGAGATCAGGGTACAAAGGAAGCAGGAGAGGAGGACAAGTCTTCTAGATTGTAACAGGTTCCATATTGCAGAAATTTCCAGATTCAGAGCCATTGAACCATCTTGTAGGGTTATGGTGAAATGTGGAGACGCTGATGGGAAGTCCAGGACACCCCCAGAGCCTGCAGCAGCACAGGGCAGGACAGGAGTGAAAGGGAAGTGTTCTGAGGCCGTTCCCTGCGGGAAGGGAAAGGAAAGGAGGATGTCATCAATGCCTTCAACCATTAGAACCTGAGCAATGGGAAAGGTGAGGACAGAGAACAAGGCAGCAAAGGCAGACAACACATTTTGAGGGAGCACATTGAGTTCCATTTTGGCCCCATTTCATTTGAGGGGCACTCAAGTTTGCTGGGCTACTGTAGCAAGCACTGCAGCCAGGCAGTTTTAACTGCAGTCAATCATTGTCCCGTGTCCTGGAGGCTAGAAGCCCAAGGTCAAGATCTTATAGGGCTGGTTTCTCCTGAGCCCTCTCTCCTTGGCTTGCAGATGGCAACTCCTCCCTGTGTCCTCATGTGATTGTCCTTTGTGTGTATCTATGTCCTGATCTCCTCCTAGGGCTCAGCCTAATGACCTCATTTTAATTCTGTAAGGTCTCATCTCCAAATAAAGTCACATGTGAAGGTACTGAGATTCAGTCTCCAACATAAGAATCTGGGGAGAGATGATACCTGCCCCCAAGCCCATACCAGAGTGCTTAGTGAGTGTAAAGATGCAGACAGTTGTTACAAATCTCATAGCTGGCATTTATACTTTAGGAAAGATCAAGGCAGGGAGCAGTAGGTCAGGAGGCAGAAATTAAAGGCAGAGAAGTACATGGATTCTGCCCAAAACTGGCTACAGAAACACAGCAAGGGCTGGGCCCAAAGTCTTGTCTTTTCTGCCATCAACAAGGCAGAAATAAAATTCCTTGAAGTGTTTCTTCTTTGCTGTAAAAGCTGGCTCTGGTGGTGTTGGGAGGTCTGCAGTATAAAACAGTGCCAGGTGGAGGAGCTGAGCTGTGTGGGCCACTGGTAATACCACCTCTGGGCCTTCGAGGAGGAGCTGAGGAGCTGAGCTGCTCTGGATGCTGGTAGCACTGCCTCTCTGCCCCCCACCTGCCACCTGCTGCCTCTGGCTGCTGGAGTGAACAACAGAAAGTGAACCTCTCTGAGGCTCCACCGTGAAAAGTGAAGCCCACTGGAAAAGTGAAGAAAATCTCTACAATAAAGGCACACCAGACTGCTATAGTTGGTAAGTTCGAGGAATCACCACTTCCCATCAGAACCTGCACTATCTTCAGGGGAAAGGCAGCTGGAACGTGCAGTACAGCCTTGCAGAGTTCAACCCTGCAGGAGATCAAGGAGCTCAACTTGGATTTTGCAGCCAGAAATCAGCCCTAATCTTAGGGGTCTGTTGCTGGCTTGATGAGACTAATTGACTTGGGTCGAGACTAATTGACTTAGATCTGCTGCCCACATTATCTATTGTGACAGCAGGACAGCAGAGACATTCCCTGAAGGAGGCCCTTCATTTTTATTTTTTATTTTCAAAGTTATTTTTTCTCTTATTTTTAATTTCTATTTTTCTTCTCTTTTCAAATTTATTTTTTCTTTCTCTTTCTTAGTATTTTTTACTTTCTTTTTCTTTTTTCTTTTCTTTCTCTTTCTCACTCTCTAGCTCTCTACCACCTTTTCTTCATCTCTCTCCCTTTTTGTTCCTGTTCCTGTCCTAATTCAGATTTCTTTTTTCTTTCTTTTTCTTCTCTTTTTTTTCTTTCTCTCAATTGTCATTAGTTTTAAAGGAGAGTAAATGCAGTTTCTAGCTTCCCTATTGCTGTTAGGTTGTTCTGTTCTTGTGTTCTTTCATTCTGTCTTTTCCTCTTGTCTTCAATGGTTTCCTAGAGTTTGCATGATATTCCTGTGTCCTCTGGCCTCACTTCTACCTTTTCCCCATCCTTCTACCTATCTTAACCCTCTCTCCCCAAACCCTTCTCAGTCCCTATCCTAAAGGGTAAAGTTTCTATTTTGAACAGTTTATTCACTATAAACATATTTTGGGCTGATGCTCAATTTTTATTTAATTCACACAGTTAAAGGTGATAGATTAATAACTACTACAAGTTGTTGCTTTCTAAGCAGTGCTTGTTGCTGTTGTTGTTGCTGATAGTATTACAGGGCTAAGATGTTGTGATTGATCTAATCAGTTGTCCTTCCTAGTATACTGAAAATGAGATTGCCTAAGCATCATTAGAGACTCAAAACCTAAAGACCAGCTATATCTGGAAGACACCTCTAAGAAGAAATCATTCTATAAGGGCTCTAAATAAAAGCAACAAAGATACTTACAATAAGCAATACTGAAGTATCAACCCAGGAATTGAACCAAAAACACCATCAACAACAAACATGGAAAGACACTTAAGCAAGGTGCAAACCCAGACCTCCAGCTCACCAAAGGCAAATTCTGAAGGAAAATCTGATAACCACCTGGACACCCTGGACACCTGATAACCACCTGGACACAGGAAGTAACAAAACAGATGAACAAAGCTCTAGAAAAATTCAATACAGAAATAATTTCCCAGATAACTACAAAGATGGTAAGCAGAATGAAAGATATAATTAGAGACTCTAGAACAGAAACAGATTAAAAAAATAGATGACCATGATAGAAGCTATGAATCCCCAGCATAGGAAAGAAATGGAATCCATGAAACAGATTCAAACAGAGATCCAGGAGATTAAAAACTCTCTTAAAAGTATTCACAGCACAATGAGCCAATCTGAAAACAGAATATCAGGTATAGAAGACAGGATGGTGGTCAGTGACCATTTAAAATTAGTAAGGAACCATAAGAAATCGACCCAACAGTTCCTAGATGATGCAAAGAAGAAAAATATAAGGCTGATAGGAGTCCATGACAAAGCAGGAGAAAGTACAAATGACATATAAAAGCTGTTCACAGAATTAATAACAGAAAACTCCCCAAACAGAGTGAAAGAATTTGACATACACATAAGTGAGGCATATAGGACTCCAACTAGCCATGATAAAAAAAAATCTGTACCTAGACATACAATAATTAAGATCCCAGAAACCCAGCAGAAGAACAAAATATTAGAATCAGAGAAAAGAAACAAATCACATACAAAGGAAAGCCCATCAGAATCACAGCAGACTTTTCAACACAAACCCTCAAGTCAAGGAGAGCCTGGAGTGAGGTCTTTCAAGCCCTAAAAGAAAATAACCTCCAACCTAGACTGATGTATCCTGCAAAACTATCTTTCAAATTTGATGAGGAAATAAGATAGTTCCATGACAGAAAACAAAAACAAGAACAAAACACCTGAGACACTTCATGAATACCAAACCAGCACTACAAACAATACTAAATAACATCCTAGAAAATGACAATGAAGGTCCCAATTCCATGAGGTCCAACAGAGCAAATCCAACAGGCAAGGGAAGAAATTAAAGGGAGAGGGGAAAAATAAACAATAAAAGAACAAACAACAGGAAAATAACATGATGAGGATATGTAAATACATATCAGTTATAACCATCAATGTTAATGGCCTCAATTCACCAATCAAGAGAAATAGACTGGCAGAATGGATTAAGAAGCAAAAATCCAACAGTCTGCTGTATACAAGAGACACAACTAGTTCAAAAAGAAATTCATAGACTGACAGTTTTCCATGTGACAGGAACCCAGAAAAAAGCAGGGCTAGCTGTCTTATTTGCAAGGAAAATTTCAAGCCAAAACTATGAGGGACAAAGAAGGTTGCCACACCCTTGTAAAGGGAACAATCCAAGAAGAGATGACAACCATAAATATATATGCACCAAATACTAGTGCTCCCAACTATACAAAGCAAATATTAATGGACATGAAAAACCAAATAAGCACTAATACAGTTTTAGTGGAGGACCTCAATACTCCACTGTCACAAATAGACAGATAATCTAGACAAAAAATCAGCAATGAAATAACAGAACTGAACCAAGCCTTTGAATAAATGGGTGTAATAGATGTCTACAGAGTGATCCACCCCACAAAATCAGAATATACATTCTTTTCAGCTGCACACAGGTCATTCTCCAAAATAGACCACATGCTAGCTCATAGGATATACTTAAGTAAATGCAAAGGAATTGAAGTTATCCCCTGTATATTATCAGGCCATAGTGCAATAAAATTGGAGATCAGTAGCATAAGAAATTGCAAGAACCCCACAAACACATGGAAATTGAATAACACTCATGAACAACAAATGGGTCACAGAGGAAATTAAAGAAGAAATTAGACAGTTTCTACAATTAAATGATAATGCCAATAAAACATACAGGAATCTGTGGGACACAATGAATGCAGTTCTACGAGGGAAATACATAGTAGTGAATGCCCATACCAGAAAACAGAGAGAGCTCAAATAAACAACCTAATGCTGAACCTCAAGCTCCTACAAAAAGAAATGTAAGACAAACCCAAAGCTCATACAAAGGAGGAAATTATAAAGATCAGAGCAGAAATCAATGCAATGGAGACTAGGAGAATGATACAAAAATTTAATGAATCAAGGAGTTGGTTTTTTTGAAAGAATAAATAAAATTGATAAACCCTTAGCTGACCTTATCAAAAAGAGGAAAGAAAAGGCTCAAGTCCATGCTATTAGGAACATAAAAGGAGAAGTCATAACAGATCCAGCAGAAATCCAGAGGATCATCAATACCTACTTCAAAAAGCTGTACTCTAATAAAACAAAAAACACAGAAGAAATGGACAGATTCCTAGATACATATGAATTACCAAAGTTGAAGAAGATATAAAACTTCTAAACACCCCAATTACAATCAGTGAAATTGAAAATGTAATTAAAAATTTACCAACAAAGAAAAGCCCAGGTCCTAGTGGCTTCACTAATGAATTCTACAAGACATTTAGAGAATAACTGTTGCCATTACTCTTTAAACTTTCCAATGAAATTGAAAGGGAAACAATACTTCCAAATCCATTCCTGGAAGCAAGTGTTACTTTAATTACAAAACCAGGGAAAGACCCAATCAAAAAGAGAACTACAGGCCAATCTCCCTAATGAACATAGATGCAAAAATCAATAAGATGCTGGCAACCCGAATACAAAGGGCCATCAAGAAGATCATACAACCTGAACAAGTTGGATTTATCCTAGGGGTGCAAGGATGGTTCAACATACATAAATCAATAAATGTAATACACTATATTAACAGCCAAGGGAAAAACAATATAATCATTTCAATAGATGCAGAAAAAGCATTGACAAAATTGAGCACCCATTCATGATAAAAACCCTACAGAAAATTGGAATAGAAGGTCTTTATGTTGACCTGATTAAGGCTATGAAAAACCAACAGCCAACATCATACTAAATGGTCAAAAACTGAAAACGTTCACACTAAAATCAGGAACAAGAAAAAGTTGTTCACTATCACTACTCCTGTTCAATATAGTTCTGGAAACATTAGCCACAGCAATTAGACAAGAGAAATAAATAAAAGGAATAAAGATAAGAAAGGATGAAAGCTGACTTGTCATTATTTGCTGACGATGATACTCTACTTTGAAGACCCAAAAAAAACTCTGCCAAAAGATTTCTAGACTTAATTGACAGATTCAGTAGAGTAGCTGAACAAGGTCAACACACAAAAAATTAATAGCCTTTCTGTACATGGACAATAGACTCACTGAGAGAGGAACTGGAGAAACAACTCCTTTCACAATAGCATCCCCCAAAAATGAAATACCTACGGATCAATCTAACACAAGTAATAAAATACCTCTACTCTGAAAACTAGAGCAGTCTGAAAAAATAGATTGAAGAGGACGTAAGGAAATGGAAAGACATCCCTTGCTCCTGGGTAGTAAGAACCAATATAGTGAAAGTGGCCATACTTCCAAAACTGCTATGTAGATTCAATGCAACCCTAATTGAAATCCCAACAGTATATTTCACAGAACTAGAAAAAAAAATCCAAAACATCATTTGGAACCAGAAAAGACCTAGAACAGCAAAAGCCATTCTAGGTAACAAAGACATGACAGCGGGTATCACAATCCCCAACTTGAAACTATACTATGAAGCCACTGTGATAAAAACAGCATGGTACTGGCAAAAAAACATACCTGAGGATTAGTGGAATAGATTAGAATATGCAGAAGCAACTGCAGACATGCTCAGCCACCTATCTTTGACAAAGGAGCCAACCATCCTCACTGGAGGAAAGATAGCCTCTTTAATAAATGGTGTTGGAAAAACCAGATTTCAGCTTGTCAACGATTAAAACTAGCCCCATGTCTTTCACCATGCACTAAACTAAAATCAAAGTGGATTAAAGATCTAGGTTTTAAAACAGAAACACTAAATTTACTGGAAGATAAGTTAGATAGAATTCTTGAAGAGATCAGCATAAGAAAAACTTTATGAGCCAAACCTCAGTAGCACAGGAATTAGCACAAAGAATCAACTGGGATCTCATCTTTTTAAAAAGTTTCTGCAGTTCAAGAGAAAAGAGCTAAGAGACAATCTACAACTTGGAAAAAAAATTTATCAGCTGATCCTTAGACAAAGGACTACTATCTAGAGTATATAAAGAACTTTAAAAAGTCAGACACCCACAAATTTAAAGACCCAATTCAAAAATGAGCATCTGGGCTGGGGACTTAGCTCAGTGGTTCTGCTGCCTGCCTCTCAAGCACAAGGACCCGAGTTCAATCCCGGCTACCAAACAAAACAAAACAAAACAACAATTTAATAGAATTCTACCTCCCCCCAAAAAATGGGCATCTGAAATGAACAGACATTTCTCAGACAAAGAAGTAAAAGCATCAAATAAACAGATGAAAAAATATTCAACATCATTGGTCAGTAGAGAGATGCAGATGAATAAATGAAACACTGAGTTTCCATCTCACCCCAGAAAGAATGGCTGCTATCAAGTAGTCAACCAATAATAAATGTTGGTGGTGTTGTGGGGAGAAAGGAACCCTTCATCACTGGTGGGAGTGCAGACTGGTGCAACCACTGTGGAAATCAATATGGAGATACCACACCAAAATAAAACTAGGATTAGAGATCCCATTTTACCCAGCTATTCCACTGGGACAAGGGTCCCCCAAAGATCCACATCTTCCCACAAGAATTATAAGACTCATACACCAGTGATATATGTGCACCCATGTTTATAGCAGCACAGAGTGAAGTAGCTAAAGCTTGGAAACAGCCCAAATGCCCATCAACTGGAGACTGGATAAAGAAGATGTGGATTTTCAAAAATATATAAAGTAGAGTACTACTCAGCCATAGAGAATGAGGAATTACAATCTCCAGTACAAAAAAAAAAAGAATGAGGAATTAGAGACATTTATAACTAGATGGATGCACATTGAGAACATACTCTTAAGTGAAATAAGTAGGACACACGTGTAAATATGGAATAGTTTCTCTGGTATGAAAAATGAGAGTGTAAATAAGGATTAAAATGAATAACTGGTAATGTGAAATAGAAAAATTTCAAAGGGGTAGGGGAAATGGGAGGGGTAGGGGAAAGGAAAGAAGGGAAAGAAAAAATATGAGATAAAAAAACGGAAACAAAGCTTTTGCAAATCGGGAGGGATGGAAGGATTGAAGGGAGGGCAGGGGAATGGGGAAAAAATAAGAACCAAGATATATTGTGTAAAGGTACAAGTCTCAATGATGAATGCAAATGTATTGCATACCTAAAATGTATCAAAAGAATTTAAGAGGAAAAATCAGTGCCAGGTAAAATGAAAATACATACCAAATGCATACACAAAAGAAATACATGTTAGATTTATAATCATTAAATAAATCAAAATCAGTAGTTCACATCTGGAGTTCAGTTAGGCCCAGGAAATTTTACAGGAAAATTAGAAACTAGGCAACAGGTTTTACTGGTTTCCTCAAGTGCATACTCTCCAGAGCCACATCCCCAAGGCTTTTGTCTATCCACCATCATCCTTCTTGGTGAGCCATGACTTTCCCACACTTCTAGGAGCACTGAGAACAGCCTATTGTACTATTCCCAGGGATCCTGCTTGGATGGCACAGTGGCTGGGACAAGGGTCCCCCACAGATCCATATCTTCATTACTTTTCTCACTGAAACAAAATATGTGACTCCCAAAGTTAAAGAAGGAAAGGTTTACTTGGCCCACAATTTGTAGAGGTTTCAGTCCAGAATTGGCTGGCTCCAAGACAGGGTGGCATTGCAGAGGAAAAATAGTTCACAGCAAGCCGGTGAAAGCACATTAGTCCTCTTTCTATCCCTTATATTTTATGCAGGCTACCTCCCATAGTGTGGGTGTAGCACTCACACCCTTAATCCTGTCCAAAACTATGCCAATCATTGGACCCATTTAGTAATCACACACCCTTGATCTCAGCATCACACACTCTAGATCTAGCCACCTCTGAAAAACACTACCCCATGACTGCATGAGGCTTTAGGGGGACACCTAGACACAAACCTTAACAACCCATGTGGGTTGGTCTCCAGCCCACGACATTATTGGGAGGCAGTGGGACACTTTGGAGATGGGGCCTAGTGGAAGGAAATTAGGTCATTGCGGGAGTCCCCTTGAAGGGGACATTGGAGTCCAGCCCTTTCCTCTTCTCTCTCTTCCATACCAGACTATGAGGTAAATGGCCTTCTCTGCTATGCTCTCCTGCTACAGGGCCAAACAATGGGGCCTATCAGTTATGAGCAGAAACTTCCAAAACTGAGCCAAGACAAACCTTTCCTCTTTTTTATTATCTCAGGTATTTGTTATAGTAAGACAAAGGTGACTGACACAGGTGTTAAATCCTACACCCTGGGAAGATTCGCCCACAATGATGATAAACAATTCACCTAGTGTTGGGTTCCACTCCAGGCTGGAGATCCTTCCATATCCAGTCCATGAATCTCCCTGGGCTTCTCCATCTTTCAGCTCTTCCATTATGAGGTCCAAAGGTCCCTGACTGAGTTATGCAGTGACTCAAGATTTTGGTGTCCATTAACCCAGAGGTCCTCATCCATGTTAAGGTCCACTTCCATCCCAATCAGGGGCCTGATTCTGGCATAGGTGGCTTAACTGTATGGACAACGGCTGCTCTTGGACCTGGGTCTTAACTCCAGCTTCTCTGCCTTCTGGCTGAGGAGTGAGGGCCTCTGACCTGGGTTCTCAGACCTCAATTTAAGTTGTCAGATCATAATGCAGCATTTTGTATGGCCCTCCCCACCCCACTGCACAACTTCTCCTATTTCTCAAATGCCTGGTGCTTTTCACCAGCTATCGTGTCCCTTTCCTCCAGAGTCCTGCCCTGGTCCTCTCCCTCCTGTGTCTTCTCCATCCAGGACCTGGTCTACTGCCACCAGGATGCTTAGCAAGCCCGTGTAACCTGGCCAGGAACTGGGTGTGGCTCTGCATTGGCCAAACAATGGGGATCCTTTCCAAGACCCCACTATGGCACTTGCTCTTTCTCACCCCTGGTACCAGTGGTGGCACATGGTTTTTCTGAGTGCTCCTATTGAATCTGTTCCTTAAAGTGCTCTTACTGGAGACTTCCTTATCCTCACTGCCTCAATGCAATAGTGTTGGGAGGTGGGGCCTGTAACACATGATTAGGTCATGAGGTCAGAGACCTTGTGAATGGATTAATGTTATCTGAGGAGCAGGTTACCATAGGAGTAGTTTCCTCATGAAAGGATGTATTGAAGCGTGTGTTCTTTTGCCCTTCCACCTTCAACCATGCATGATGCAGTATGAAGGCCCCAGCCAGATATGCCCCTTGAATTTGGACTTCCCATCCTTCAAAAGTGTAAGAAATAAAGCTCTGTTCTATATAAATTACCCAGTCTCAAGTGTTGTGTTACAACAGCACACAGACTAAGAAACTGGGGAAGCAGGCTCTGTGATGGGGAACAGTATGTAAGAGGTAGAGGGAGGGCTCTTTGGAGGCCCCTGGGAAAGGAGAAGTGGGGAGAGGGAGCGGGGTGGGGCAGGTCTGGGTGACAGATGGGCTTGGTTATCTTGTAGCCTTGATGAAGGCCACAGTTCTGTGCATTCCAAAGCTGAGTGACTGTCAGAGTGTCTTGCATTGGAACAAGAGGGGCCAGATCTCCACATCCTGGGTTGCATAGATATGTGCTGCAGGGCTGTGTGATGGGGGCCCTGCTCCAGAGTGTGACAGATGGGGTTTTAAGAGATGGCACCCTTGAGATTTACTTCCTGTCAGTGGGAGACAGATCCTTGTATCTGGGGAAGACTCTAGGGTTTGTTTATTTTTAATTTCTTATAGTGCTGTTTTATATCCAATATACTAACTTCAGTATTCCTAACAGGTGACAATCTGAGATGAAAAAGACACTATGGGACAGAACTTCTGCCAGCTCACCTGACCATCTGTTGCTCTCTGAAACCCAAGTCAGCTTTCCTGCATGGCACCTGGCAGAGGGTGCCTGCTCAGTGTGATGCCAGTAGGTGAGTACAAGAGAACAGGCAAAGAATCAAGATACATTATGTAAAGGTACAAATTTCCAATGACGAATATCATTATACTGAATACCTAATATATACCAATACAATTTTTTTTAAAAAAGAGAGATCAGGCAGAAGAGACAGAGGGGAGAGAAGCCAAGAAATACCACTGAGTCTAGGGATCTTCAACTGTCAATGGGATGGCGAGATCTTGTATAGTTCCCAAGAAAAGGAACAAATGGGGGAACATTCTGGAAGAAGGCGAAGTCCCCAACATTTTGAGTAGAAGCTCCAGTGAGGAGCTTGAGGCCTTGCTCCTGTTCGTGTTGGTATGAAGAGGATTGATTGGGTCATCTGCAATGATCACTGTTCATTTTGTTGTTTTCTTTTTTTGGTACTAATTTAGAGATTTTCTGACTTCTCTATTTTTTTTTTCCTCCCAGAACAGAGGATTGACCCAAGGAACTCACACATACTAGGCAAGCACCAAGAACTCTCCACTGAGTTTCATCACCATCCTTTTTAATTTTTATCGCCCTCTACCACCAAGGTAGGGTCTTGCTAAATTGCTCATGCTAGCTAGCCTTGAACTTGTGATCTCCTGCCTTGGTCTATGTAACAGGCATGTGCCACAATACCAGGAACTCCCATAAATTCTTAAGTTTTCTGTCTTTGTTAGTGTCTGGTGACTTTAAGAGAAATGTGTGAAAAAATGAGACTGAAGACAGATGTGGGATCAAAGAGATTTTATTTGAAAATATCACTGTTGAAATTCCTGAAATCTGCTCAGAGTATCCTTCCCCATCTCTAACAATGGGGTCATTGTGATAAAATGGGGATACCCAACTTGCGGGGCCTATATGGTCCTGCAGCCAAGCCCTGAGGATCACATGACCACAAGGCAGGGGACCCAGGTCCAGCCATTCAGGGATATGTCATGGTCATTGGGGTGACTGCTCAACCTGGCTTGCTGGGTTGCCAGCCCTATCTGCAGTCCAGTGCTCAAAAGACTGGTCATGTCTGGGCTCTCTGTGAACTGTTGTGACACACAGGGAGACACTGCTGAGCTAGCACATTCATTATAGCAGGGCTACACTACTTCCTAAATCCCTGGTTGTCTCAGATTTGAGGCGCTAGTGTATCTAACTACCCACTCTCAGAAGCTCTAGTCTTTCCAGGTCACCATGACTCTGGCCTCTCCTTCTATCCCTCATATCTCCCTCTCCCAGTTAATAACATTCAAGATCTCACGCAGAAGATGTTGCCTGGCTGTGCAGAGGACAGTGTACCTCTGAGTCAGGAAGTACACACCCTCGAGGAGAAAAGATAGCAGGCATTAGCTCTGAGTTCTGGGTTCTTCCTACACCTCTTTCTCAAGACCATTTTTTCTCCAACCTGTGACATGCAGAGGCCTTGGCCAATCTGAATGTGTCACTGCCATTTACAAGGCCACAGTGAATCTGGGGTTCCACATGCTGTTTTCAGTAAAACCTCAGATAAATCATGCCAGTTTACTCACCCCATTTCTGGGAGCTGGAATTGAGTGTATTTCTCTATAACTTGTATGGGAGTACTTAAGTTCTTTAAGGATTTTAGAGCAAGAGTGAAGTGGGAGTGTTACAGCTAAGTATGACGGCTCAGCATTACAGCCAAGTGTTACAGATGAGTGTTATGGCTACCTGAACATCTCTGGAGGTGAACAAGTTGAATGACACTTAGAGAGATGGAGGGAAACTTTATTATGTCATTGGGCTCCGAGGAGTTTGTACTCTGAAATCTGAGCTCTGAACAGAAATGGCAGAAACCTCATATAAGAATCTATGGGATACTAGGGTGGGCCCACCTACCAGGCGAGCATGCTCATTGAGGCAGATCAGTGGAGTTAACAGAACATTATTGAAATCTTAGGTAGAAACATTATGTATCACAAACAGTTACATTGCTTGAACAGAACATTTTAGGGCAAAAATATGGGGGGTGCTGCCCTGTTGTGCAGTCTTTTCTCATCATTTTCCCCCTTTGATACCCTTATATAGGAGTAGCCTCAGGGTGTCACTAGTAGCTACAGGGTTATAACTTAGGTGAACTTTCACCAGTAATTGACACACTGACTGTCTCGTGGGAGCCTGAACTCTGTGAGGTGTTGGAAGAACTCTGTGAGGCACTTGAACAGACAAGGGTGAAACATCAACAACGGGAAAATGGGGAACAAGGTTCTAAGCAGAGGGGCAAACCATAACTTTTGTCCAGTAATCCAAGGAGAAACTAAAACCTGCTGATCTGAGATTGCTTTCAGAGCTTGGCAGCTGTGTCTCAGAGACTTTCTGCAGCCTGATGACCCCTGATCTGTTAACAAAGAAACAGCACCCTTCCCCAAGATACCCCCTTTTTCTACCATTAGTAAGTCTAAGGAGCAGAGGTTTTGAAGAGTGACTGCAGCTAAAGAGTCTGTTTTGTAGACCTACTATAGAATTAGAGATTTCTTCTAAGCTATTGATTAACTCTTGAGAGAGTTAACTGGTAGGCGAGGGCTGCAGTGGTTATGCCTGTTACTCCAGCCCCAATCTCTGAAATTATTTCTAAGCCTGTTATCAGTGGTATCAGGAAGGGAGTTTGGTATTGTCAGGTGTGAACCTGGACCAAGATTGAAAAGTCAGGGTCTCCAGGGGCATTGTCTATCTTGGGGCATAAACAAGGGTGCAGGTTCATGTCCAGTTAGTAGGGAGGCAGAGACAGTCAGAAGTCCCACAGAACCATAAAATTCCAAAGAGGACAGTGGACACTATAGCAATGTATGTTAACTCATTTATCTCCTTCACATGCACTCAGTGAGAAGACTAGAGTTGTTCCCATGGTGTGTTTGTCCTGTGTGAGTCTATTGGGTTTTGTTTCCTGGTGTAAGAGGAACCTGTTTGTATCAATTAGTAACCACTCTTGTGAGCTTTTGAATTGGATAAGAGTAGACAGGTTGAAGGGGTTGAGGCTGCCATGGTTTCCCAGAAGAAATCTCTTAGGTAAGGGAGTTCACATGCCTTACAGAAGTGGGACTCCATTTGATCAGCTTGGAGGTTTCTAGTCTGGGCCAGCAAGTGAGCCAGTATTGGCAACAACCTGTACATTAAAATGTTGGTAGGACTGGGGATTTAGCTCAGTGGTTCCAGTGCCTGCCTCACAAGCACAAGGACCTGAGTTTGATCCCTGGTACCAAAAAAAAAAAAAAAAAAAATGTTTGTGGGGAGGGTGTAAGACTAAGGTGAGTTTATAGTCAGAGTACAACAGATGTCCCAATACCTTGAGAGGCCCCAAAACAACAGAGGAGTGGAGGCCCCCTGGAGGGGAGGACTACTTCATACAGAGGAGGGCCTGGAAGATAAATTTAATGTCAGGAGAGCTAGGACCAAATATAAGTCTGTGTGTTGTGGCCTGATTTTTTTTTTCCGAGGAAGTTCCTTTTGAGCAAAGCAGCAATGTTAGCAGAAGAAGAGTTTTCAAGATCTACAGTGGATGATAGGCTGATGTGGACAATAACCAAACCTGGGGTGAGACAGAGGTGGCTTCTATGTAGGCCATGGAAGCTGAAATACATAGCCAAAAATCCTTTGCAAGACTGGGGTGGGACTGGTTTAGTAAAGTACTAAATGGACTGATTCTAGGGTGCTAGGGAGATAGTGGGTCTGGGCCATTAAGTCCCAAGACTGCCACCATGGGAATCAATACCAACGTCAGGTTATTGTCACTGGCCATTATCAGTTAGGCTCAGGTGAACAATTTATTTTTAAAGAATACAGAAAATACCAGTGAAATACCCTGTATTTATAATAAAGGCAAGGGCTAGGGAAATACTATGAATAGTTGTCCAGTCTAACAGTTGTCCAGTCCAGGGTAACTGTAGCAAGTCCCACAGCAAAAATTAAGGTAAGCAATCCAAGAAGACCTAGAAATCAGGGAAAACAATAACAGTCCATACAATGATTTAAAGCTTCCCATGAATGGCATCCTCAGGCTTCAGCTGTGCATAGACTAGTCAGCTTCCATTGTGACTAGAGCAGGGCTGTTGTCTGTTGGTGATGCCTCCAAGGTCAGGTTGAGTCCCGAGGTCTTCCATCTGAGTCGAGTCCTGAGGGGATTCTTGGGGTCCAGGTGCATTGTTCAGGCATCTGGGACCTCAGTGGGGTGGGCCTTGCTGAGTCTCAAGTGATGAACCCACAGGACAACTCCTACAACTTTAACAGCCATGGGGGTGACATGTACAACAATGTAAGGCCCTGTCTAGAGAGATCAAGGAGTTCCTTTTTCCAGTCCTTAACCCAAACTGAGTCCTCTGGCTGGTAGGGGTGTATTGGGGTTCGTGAGGAGAAGGGGATCCTCTCAGGAACAGTCTTATGAATCTGAGAGAAAATCTTGCCTAAGGCCTATGATTCTGTAGTTGAACTGTTGTCATCCCCTCTGAATGCCCTTTTTCTGGGTTGGGGTTTTCCAAACAAAATTTCATAAAGGGACTAGACTGATGGTCTGGAGGTGCATCAGACCCAGAGTAGGAGTAGGGGTAACATGTCAAACTAGGCCTCTCAGGTTTTCTGACATAACTTGGCTAAGATGGTCTTTAGAGTACAGTTCATGCATTCTACTTTTCCTGAGTTTTGGGATGCGTAAGCTGTATGAAATTTCCACCAATCTTCAGCAGGTCAACAAGGGTTTGTATCACTTTGGCTACAAAAGCTGGCCCATTTGTTACTTCCCACTGTTAGAGGCAGTCCATATTGAGGAATAACCTCACACAACAAGAGCTTGACAACTTTGTGTGCTTTCTTGGTCCAGGTAGGTATAGCTTCAACCCTACCTGAGTATGTGCAAACAATGACCAACAGCTATTTTTCTGGCTGACAGGGTTTTGCTTCAATGAAGTCTATTTCTAAGTCCTCAAAGGGTGACATCCCAGTATATTGGATTCCCAGGGCCGGGCTGGGTCATTGCAGGGGGTTATTTCTGGTGTAGTTTAGGTACCCCTGGCTTATGGTGGCACAGAGGGATGACAGCCACGGGATGCAGAAGTATCAGCACAACAGAGCCTCGGAAGCTGATTTTCCTAAATGGTTCAAGTTGTGGAATTCTTGAACTAGGGTGTACAATCATCATTGGGGTATGAATGCCCTTTGATCTCACAGAGTCCCCCATGCATTGGGGCCTTTGAATGCCCCTTCTTGTTGGGCATTCATGATTTCCTTCAGGGGCATATATTGGTTCTTATTTTGCTAATCCTTAGGGAGTATGGCTAATTCTGTGGAATCAATTTGAGTTGGTGTCATTGTGCTAATGAAGGCAGCTTCTCTTGCCACTGGTCCAGTAGCTGGTTTTCTTGGATGACAGAATCTTGCCCCTTAGGTTCCCATATATGGTATATATAGTGTATATATAGGTTCCCATATAGTGTATATATAGTGTATATATAGCATATATATGTGTGTGTATATATATATATGCATATATATATATATATATATATATATATATATATATATATATATATATATATATATATATATATATATATATATATATATATATATATATATATATATATATATATATATATATATATATATATATATATATATATATATATATATATATATATATATATCTTGCCACTGATGTGGACTGTAGCAAAAACATATCTAGAGTCAGTGTAGATATTAGCAGTCATTCCCCTTGCCCATTGGAGGGCTTGGATGAGTGCCCAGAGCTCCATCCTCTCTGCAGACCACTCCTTTGGGAGGGGGCCTGCCTCAATGATTTGGTCTATAGTAGTGACTGTGTATCCTGCCAGCCATTCTCCATCCTACATGAGGCCGCTGCCACCTGTGAATAGGGTAACATGTAGTCTGGGCTCTGGTACCTCAGTGAGGTCAGTTCAACTGGGAAAAAGCTTATCAACAACTTCTTCGCAGTCATGGCCTGGAGGCCCTTCTCAGTTGGCAAGTAGATAGCTGGATTTAAAGGCTGAACAGTCTCTAAAGTAACTCAGGGATTTGGTACTGTGTCATCCTGACGTTTGACAGCCACTTAATGTCTCTTATGTCTTAGTTATTGGCCAGGGTCACAACAGAGTGGAAAAACTTTAGCTGAAGGTTTTGTCCCAAAGTCAATTTGCCTGTTCTTTAATAAGGATGACAGTTGCCACTATAGCACAGAGGCAAGGGGGCCATTCTGCTGCTACTGTGTCTAACTGTTTAGACAGATAAGCCACTGGCTTCTACCAGGTCCCTACCATTTGTATCAGGACTCCAAGGGCTAGATGGTCTTTTTCTTCCCAATCAGCAGTGTGCAGTTTTCATTCACTCTCTATGGGGACAGTTACAGTTTCCAGTAACTGAGTCCTGCCAACTGGGCAATAGTGTGCTGCTTCATTCTCTCAGAGGGGCCCCCGTTAGCCACTCCCCAGCTCCAATCCAGTGGTTCAAGAGGCCAGCACAGTCAGCTTTTCCCAATTGGGGAACAATATGTTACAGCTATGTACAACAGTTCGGCCTTATAGCCAGGCGTTACAGCTCAGTGTTACAGCCAAATGTTATGCTTATCTGAAGGTCTCTGGAGGCAAAGAAATCGAGTAGCACTTCAAGATGGAGAGAACCTTTTACACCAGCAGGCTCAGAGGAGTTTTTACTCCAAAATTTGAGCCCTGAACTGAAATGGAAGCAACCTTATATAAAGATCTACAGCATAGGTGGGTGGGCCCACCTACTGGGCAAGCATGCTTGTTGAGGCAGATGGACAGAGTTAATAGAACATTCTTAAAACCTTAGGTAGAAACATTGTGCAGCACAAACAGTCACATTGCTTGAACAGAACATTTTATGACAAAAACATGGGGAGGGGGGCAAAGGCGTGCCCTGTTGTTCATTATTTCCTCATTATGAGGAGCGAAGGTGCCTGCCCAGCCCTGGCCCCAAGTTCTTCCCTCAGCTTGGTACTTTGCCACAGTAGCTGCTTTACAGGCCATTCCCTGGCGATACCCCCATCTGGCTCTCCTCCCACTGCACCTCAGCAGAACCCTGCTCATAGGTTGGCCTCTATGCTACCTGCCGTGGGCCCCAACGCTATTTCCTGCCCGGCCATCCCAGAGCTCAGGGCCGAGGGCCCAGGGCTATAGTACACTCACCTGGAGTAGTATGAATGGGCCTGTACCCAGCAAAGCACAGATGATGAGATGGCGACACTGAACTCCACCACTGTGAAGAGGAGCATCAGGCTCAGGGTTCCCTGAAACACAAGGCATGGGGTCCATGCTTCTTTTCTAGGATGGCCAGAGGACTACAGGCTGCTTCCAGCTTCCCAGAGCTATAGCAACACTGCCTGGCTAGGATGACTTCACTTCTGGCTGGGATGGGCATCATGTATGCTGCCCATTCCTCCCCCTTGCACACCTGGCCTCACCTGTTCTTTATCTTTTGCAGATGGGGCCAAGTCTAGTTTGGGGTGAGAGGCAGCACCCCAAGTTGAGCAGGGGTCCTAATCTCTTAGACATCTCACCTCCCAGGGCTGCAAGGCTTTTGCTTATCTGGGCTCCAATTTCCTCCTCTGAGATGGGGACCTTGACCAACACCCTGTGGCATTGTTGGGGTCCCTAGAGGAGGTGAGTGCAGCAGTCTCCACCCAGCACTGGGTAGCCAATCTGGATCATCCTCAGGGTGACCAGATAATGGTACAGTTGCTAATGCCATGCCAATCCCAGAAGATAGCTCCTGAGGTGTTCTGAACAATTCTGCTGCCTTAGATCCCATTCCATGGAACAGTGGCCTCCAGGTAGGACAGCGGAGGCCACAGATGTGCAGAACATGGAAGCTACTAAGCTAACCATGACTAACAGTGTCCTCCTCCATAAACACCTGCAGCCCCCAAGGAGCTGGAAGAGGCAGCAAGGACCCTCCCCTGGAGTCTTTGGAGGAAGCTCCATGGCCTGCCCACACCTCCACCTTGGACTTCAGAACTATGAAGAGTCTGTTTCTGTTGTTTCCAGCCGTATCGTTCATGGTCCTGTATTACACAGGTCACAGGAAATGAATGCAAGGTCTAGGCAGGAAAGGGATGTACTGGTTGACTGCTCCTGCAAGATCCCAGCAAGACTACAATGGGCTCATCCTTTCTGGGCTGCACACACCTTATTATCCCTTCTAGATGCAAGCCCAGTAGCTGCCACTGTCCTGCACACCCACAGGAGCATGGCCTGAAGCACAAGAAGGGCTGAGCCAGTGCCATTTCTTAGGATTGTCACCTCTCCCTTTGTGACAGCAGGGAAAAACCCCTACCTTTTCCTTCTTTCCCAGTGTCCCAGAGACCTGTGTGAGTCCTGAGCTTAGTGACTGGACCCCTCTCCTAGCTGATCTGATGTCCAGCCTTCTGGGGTGCAACAGGAAATTCACCATCATTTGGTTATCCCTATTGCTCATTGAAAGTAAAAAGCCTATCTCCACATTTCCACTGATTTCTTGGCTTCTGGCCATCACCTTGCATGACTGTGTGAATGGAGAAACCAGGATTTGCCCCTATGTGCCTCACCTGTGGCCTGTGCTCTGCAGCCCATGGCCCACAGCCCACAGGTCACAGCTACTTCCGCTGAGCCCCGACATTTCCCCAAGCTGTGGCCTTTCTTGAGCAACTCATGGCCCCAGACACTAGGGTCTTGTGTGAACAAATTCATCCCGGAGACTCTAATGCAGAATCAGTTTAGAGCTAAAACCCAAACTCTTGATGATCTTGGGTGGAGCAGATTTCAGAGCTTTGGGCATAATCCAGCTGAGTCCCTACAATTCCACAACAGGGACTCCTTTCTTTCACCCCTTGCTCCCCCATACCAGATGGACGCAACAGAAAGATGCTGAGAATCTCAAAGACTTGTGCAACCTGGAAGACTCTTATCAAAGAACTCACCTGCAAACTGGAGCGGATCATGAAGCAGAAGGGGATATCAGATGAGAAGTTGTAGCTGTCTGGGTGAGTTGCCATGGGCATCAGTTCCTGCTCACACTGACTGGTGGTAGTGGGCACAGTGGCCAGGATGATGGTCAGGAGCACCAGGCCCACAGTGGCAACCATCAGGCTCAGGAGGTTGGTGACCAGACTGCTCCAGGCCTGCAGGGGAATTTGCATCAGGGTCTCTGCCACTGTTGCACTGCATTCCCACTCAGCTGCCAGTGCATTTCCCCAGGTGGGTCCTTCAGCATGGCAAAGACCTGTGACTTGATTCATTCCTGTTCACCATTCTTCCTTGCACAGCTACCCATACCCTGCAGCTAAGTGCTTGCTGCATGCAAATGTGTGTGGATAAAATACAGGACTATGGATGGGATCCATGGTGGACACTGTTCCAGTGGCTTCTCCACTCAAGGCCACCAAGTAGGCAGGCCAGATGAAGATACATATGGGACTGATGTTCATTTGGGCCTCGTGAAATAGTTGCAGCATCAAAGTGCTCATAGTCCTGGCTGAGTCACAGCTGCCTACCACCAAAGTCGCCTTCTGGTTTTCCTCTGCCTACCTAGGACCCCTGAAGAGCCTCTCTCCTCCTGCTGCTCCCTGTTCCTAGCTTTCAGGAGACCTCCCAACTCTGGCCTGGATATGCATCAGGTGAGTGCCATGCGTGGGTTCCCCAGCATGCTCTTTAACATCCCCCGTTCTGTCTGCAGGTCCACCATGGTAGGCTAGAAGCAGGGCAGCCTTCTCACCCACCACCATCAGACACGCCATAGCAGCATAGACCACAGAAGGTAGCCACAGTTCAGGCTGCTCCTTTCTTTCCCATCATTCCCACACAGAGCACATAGCCAAAAGGCCAAAGGGGACCTTGGCCAGAGAGGGAGGGCCAGAGCTCATAGGGTACAAGGGCTCAGTGCCAGCAGGGTGGCCACTGGGCCAAGTGTAGGCACTCACATTCCACTACACTGGATGGGTCCCTGTCCTTGGAAGTAGGCGCCTAAGTTCTGGTCTCATAGAATCCAGACTCAGTTTCCCAGGAATAGCGTTGAGGGGGAGCTGGTCTGGGGTGTGTCTCGTGGACATTGGCTGGGTACATAAAGTCCAAGACACTTGCAATCAGCTGTGCTTGGCAGTCACAGGTGAGGACACTGGTCCTCATCCTGTGGGGCCCTGGAGCTGAGCAGACAGGGCAAGGAGATAGGAAAAGAGGGTCATACATTTCTGCCTAGGGCCTTTTACTCTGCAGGGCCATGAGGCCTGGGACTCTGCATATTCTGAGTCAGCCTTTTCAGCCACAGATTAAATTCCTGGAGGGTAGAATGTGGCAAGGAGTAGGGAACCTCTGGGCTGCTTGAATGACTCTGGGCCCCAACTATCCCACACTTGCTTCCTCCTGCCAGGACCACTCTGTAGGGCTGTCCAGTGCCCCGGGGAGGTCTGAGGTTGACAGCAGCTGAGTCTCACGTGCTGCCTTGTGGCTCTGCTTCCCCAGTCGGGCTGGGGTTCTAGGACTCACAGAAGGTCTGGCTGCAGAGTCTCCTATAGCCTCAGTATCAGGACAAACAGAGCCCTAGGCTTAGCTGCTGGACCCTCCAACATGCCCCCAAGCCACTCCTCCCAAGATCAGACTGGAGATAATTCTGCAAACCTCTACAGGTCATAATGATTCTGTTGCCAGAACTCTTTCCCACCCCCAACCCACTGTCTCAGACTCTAACCACAGGAGAATACAGGTAACCAGCTCCCAGAACTTCCTGGGATCTCTGCTTTTTCATAAACACTCCATGGTCTCACTGTCCCCATCTCCTGTGGTCACCAAAGACTGGGATCAGGTGGTCAGTTGGCACCAAAAAGTGCCACAACAAGGTAGGATGTTCCTATGAAGTTCTGGGAGCCCTGAGAGGGCAGACATTGTCTACAAAATAGGGAACATGAGAGGAGCCCCCCAAATAGGAGAGCCTTCTGGGCTTCCAACAAAGTTGCTGGGCCAAGGCAACTCTCGGCTCAATGGGAGAGGGGGCACATTTCTCCCTCTAAATGTGAGGACATCCAACCAGATATGTAAGGGAGGTGGTCATTCTTATACTCACCAAATATTTTGTTGGTTTTTTCCATGAGATAAGAGACAGTGATCCAGAACTGATAAACTGCTCAGAAAAGAGAAGGGTGAAGTCAGCTTCCATGGGAACCTCTAAATCTCATGCTACCTCTAAATCTCCATGTCCTTATATACTGTCCAGGAACATCCCTGTAGCTCCAGTGGGTTGGGTACTCTGGTCACTGACCATACCTCATCCCTAAAGGGCTCACAGCCCAACATGTGGACAAGTCAGGCTCACACAAGAAGGTGAATCAACCCCTTATCATCCCTGGGGAAACCTGAGACATTTCAAAGAGAAGGTTTTCCAGGGCAAAGAAGTAGGGTAATGGGGTATTGTGGATGGCATGGGGATCCCACCCCCACATCTTTGCTGTCCAAGCACTGGAGACACTGGCAGGTAGTCGTTGAGCAGGACCTGCCCACCAATGACTGGCCACCCTACTCACACACTTGCAGCCTACAAATGGGTATCCAGAAGTCACCATCTTGAAAATCACTGGGCAGAAATGACAGGTGAAGGATGTGAATTTCAAAAGCAGGCCCAAGCTCAGGACTGTGATGCCACAGAAGATCTGCATGGCCTGTTAGGACAGGGTCACCAAATATTGCGAGCTGAACTGTGTCTCCCAGAGAGACACATGCATGCCTCACCTAAGTTGCTGTGAGCACAACCTTATTTGGAAAGGGAGTCTTACAGTTGTGACTGAGATGCTCGTCAAGGTCACACTGGAGCAGGGTGGGCTTGAACCCTTGATCATGTAAAGGGTAAGGAGAAATACAGACACCATGGGAGAAGAGGCTGGGTTAAGAGTGACTCAACGGCAAGCCCTGAAACACCAAATTCTGCCTGAGCCCCCAGAAGCTGGAGAGAGGGAACCCACCAGCCAATGCCTGGGTTTCAGACTCTGGCCCCAGGTCTATGTTAGTTGGTTCCCAGGACACAAAACCCTGGGCAAGTCATTAGGGACAGGCTTGGGTCATTCCTAGGGAAACGAAGTCTGGAGCTCTCTGTGATTGTGCTGAAGCCAATGAACATCTTTCTTGAAGTACTCAAAACCCACTAGGAGGGCCGGCTGCCCAGCCTGCTCTGGGCTGCCCAAGGGGGGACATTGTGAGACACTCAGTGGGTACTTGAGGGAGAGCAGAGATTCCGCTGTCAGGGCCTACTCCTACCACTACCACACTCACAGGGCACCTCAAAGACAGCAGTGGTGTGGGGCTGCCCCCAATCAGACAAGGGGACACATGTCTACTCCAGGCATGGCATCCTCACTAAGAAGGTTCCTACAAGCCATAACAGGGGTGACAGGTGGGCTCTGAATCATTCTCCATGAGAGTTCACATTCACAAACAGTTCACTAAGTGATTTCTCCGGTGTCAAAACAGACAAGTCAGCCCTGTGGCCAGATGGGTAAGGGGACATCAAAGGTCAGTGCCCCAGGTCTCCTGATCCCTCTGGTTGTTCAAAAGAGTTGAATGTCTTTAGAAAATCATGGATTCTGAGAGAGGTGTAGACAGCAGAGAAGGGACAATTATTACACTCATTTTCAAAATGGTTAATGGTTCTAATCAGGGAAGAAGGGAGATCAAGTTTACATCATTTTTTAAAAAGAAAATCTAGAACAATTTATTCAACAAGTGATTTTTTTTTTTTTTTTTGCTTTTACCTCAAAATAGAGTGTTTGTGGGTGATAGTCCTTCATCATCATTCGCTGAAAATGAGTTAGACCAACATTTGGTAAAACAATCTCAGGTGGATGCTCCCTGATGAACTCACAGTGGGGGTTCCCTCATCATCCTGTGGAAAGTCCCAGCTGGTCTCAGGGCCCCAAAATCTCCACAGTGTCCTGGAGCCCCTCAAGCAGATTGAGGACTCTCCCTGAAGTGGGCGTGGCCCCTCCCCACACGCCCATGCAGGCTGCATTCTCTATGGGCCATACTCACCCCAAGCATCGTGGACTCTTCTTTTGGGCCATCTTGCCTGCCATCCATGCTGGGAGGCAGCTCTCTGGCCTCTGCTGTGCTCGGAAGGAAAGACACAGAGTTCCCACTTTCTGAGGCATGGGACGCAGATGGCCTGCGGCTACTGACACTGCCAAGAGAGACAAGGAATAGTTCTGACTCCAGGCTGGGACTAAAAACAGCAGACTTTCCCCAATCCACATTCCTTGGTGGTCAGTCACCGTACCTCAAATCCCAATGTGACGTGGGTTTGGGGAAAGAGAAATGGGTGTCTCAAGCTCAAGATTGTGAGAATTCTCACCAGGTGCTTGGCACCACCCAACATCTGGGGATAACAGGTATCCTGGATGGCACAACCTATTTCTGAAAAGGTCAGAAGCAGACTTCAGGCACAGGTGCCCTGTGGGTGCTGTAAATTCCTACAAAGCCCTGAGAGGACCAGACGGGGTGTATTCACCCCCCTCCCCAACCAAGAGCAGGACTTAAAGCTTCCCCAAGTCTTGCTCTCCTTTACCTGTTTGTTCCAGGCCAGCCCCTCCATGATGCCTGCTTGGCTCTGCCTTGTCACTGTAGACCTTCTAACAAGTCATGCTTGCTGGTGCCTGGGTTTACTGAACCCTTCCAAGGGGCCAGACCTCATGCTGGGACTGTGCTGATCCTTACAGAGTTTCAGTTATGGTTCTGGATGAAGAATGTGGTCCAGGCACAATAGCATAGCCCCATGAAACATGCCATGCTGGCTGTCTGGGTGATGCCAGGTCTGATCCTCATGGCTTCTAGTCCACAGAAGTGGGACTCAGCCCAACCTCTAAGCTGATGTCTCTGCTCGTCTCACTTTTCAGCTCCCCCCTACATTTCCCTCTAGCGTTGTCCTAAACCCCAACTCCAGCTTCCAGTCCTCAAAGGTGGCAGGACTTGGGGGAAAGAGAATAGGACTTGGCAACAGAAAACTTGAGTTCGGTCCTGGGTTTTCTTGGGGGCATCTTAGGCTGAAGAGGCTGCAGTCCAACCCTGAGCAGCTCATGGTATCCACATGAGAACCTGGCCCCTGCCTGCCCCATACTAGGCTCACAACAGAGCCAAGTAGAGACAGCTCCTGAACAGCCGTGCAATACATTTTATGCCCTCAAAGATGTTGCCACACAGGAGCAATCCCAAGACTGAGGCTGGGGACGAGACCTATATGTGGACACCTCTGCCTGTCTTCTTGGGAAGCCTGCTCTGCCCTGATTGGGGGAGCATCCAGCACCTCTGGCTTGGTTATTAATGACTAGAATTCAAAGGGTCTGCCCTCTAGCAATCCTCCATTTCTAGGCCAAGGCCAGAGTCTGTGTCTTATCATATCCCTATGGAATCAATTATATTAAGCACACATTGGTGCTGGGGCAGGCACTGAAGATGTAGTGTGTACACAAAGATCTGGCCTCTCTGCCTAGCTCAGACCCACCTGGTAGGCAAGGAGACAGCCTCCCAGTGGGACACACCTAGTCCTGAGGCTCTTCAGATGGGCCCAATTCCTCCAATCCTTCATCAGAGCCCTTCCCAAAACCCAACAGGCAGCAGCCCAAGGAAGACCCAATATGCTTACCTGCCCCTGAGGTCAGCCATGGACTTCTGCTGAACCATATGTCGGTGGCTTTGAGAGGTTGCTGTAGCCAGGTTGAGGTTCTCAATGGAAGCCTCCTGGGAGCTCACTGGCTGGTCCATCGGAAACTTCCTCACTGTGATCTGTGGATTCTGTCTCTTTTGCCAGTGCTTGTGGGGAGGTAGGAAGTGATTCTGCTGCCAGCAGGAGAGGTTTATGTGCTGGTTAGGGTTTCCTCCTCCTCCTCCTTATAGTGCGAATAAGCAGCCACGTGCAAGCACATTTCTCCAAGGCATAGCCAGTCTTCAAGCTCTGACTTCCCTTGCTGGGCAGAAAAGCAAGTGGCTCCTCCTTCAAACCATGCCCTTAGACAAGTTATCTAAAGCCTCCCAATTAGAATTCTTGCCTGACCAAGGCTGCCACTGCCCTCAGCAGTGCCTTCCACTCCTTCCCTGCCTCTACCACCTCCTACATGCCCCACTGGCTTCCCCAGACCAGTCTGCTTGCCTGCAACCCATGCTCCACATTCCATTGCTATTTACCAGCATAAAATGATGGTGTCACCACCCACTCCCATTTAAAATCCCAGGTTGGTTTAGATGATGGTGTCACTACCCACCCCCTGCCCCATTTTAAATCCTGGTGTGGCTTCTACAGACTTTGAGGTCAAGGACAGAACCTGTCCCTGACCCAAGGGAAGCCTTGTGTGTTCAGCCGATCTGCCTCCCAACGTTGCCTGGATTCCCACTGCCTCTTGCCTGCAGGCTCCAACTCAGCCAACCCCATGTCCCCCTCACCCCCCATCTGGGTCTTTTCTCCACTCTCCCTGCAACTCCCCCTGAGAAACATTTGCCCCATTCTGTGGGGCAGAAGCCAGGCACATGTGGATGTTAGCATGTGAGTGGCTAAGACTCAACCAGTGACATTTGGCCCACACTCAAAAGTTCCTCTATCCCCCACCCCCATCCCCGGAATCTAACTCACCTCCCAATTGCTCCTTCAGAGCCCCGGTCTCTCTGCTGCTGTGGCCATAGCTGGTGGCTCCTCTGTCTTTCTGGGGACTAACTCCTGGGACTGGGGGTCAGTTGGGGGCAGAACATCATCTCAGAAGATTTGGGGGGCACCTCTGGTGCTCTAGAGCATCTCAGAAGTCATTTCTGAGAATTGGGTCTGCGGGCTCCGCTCTGGGAAGCTGACAGCTCTCTGGGCATTTCTAATCCAGGAGTAATGAAAAATACTAAGACAGGGTTTGCAACAGGATCCCCCACTTCTGGGAGAAAGGTAGACAGGCTCAGCCATCCCCAGGTGAGACTGTCTTGCGATGGCCTCTCGCCTTGTGGTGATGGTGGGGTTTTGGAGAGAGGGAAGTAGCTTCAAATCACTCCCACCATCTTAATTCTGTAGTGTGCAAAATATCTATTGATGTTATTTTTTTCAATCATATCAGTAATTTGTGTTTGCTCTTACTTTTCAGTTGATCTCAATAGTTATCAAATTTATTCACCATTTCAAAGGAGCACCATCTGATTTTTTTGTTTATTTTATTGCATTCCTTGCTTGTTTGTTCATGGCATCAAAAAGTTTTTAAATAAACCTTTTAATGAAAAGCTCAAGACCTATATAAAAATTGCAGAAAAAACAGCACAGAGTTTCTATAAATCCCATAGATTGCCCTATTAGGGTGGTCATTTGTTATACTTGATGAATAATATTGACACATTACTATAAGCTAAAGTCCATGCTTTAATCAGATTTCCTTAGTTTCTGTCTAATATCAATCTCTGTCCCAGGATGTTGTCTGGAACACCATGCCACAGTCAGTCGTCCTGTCTCAGGCTCTCCTTATGGCTGTGATGAATTCTCAGTCTTTCTTTGGTTTTTATGATTTTGACTGTTTTAAGGAGTTGATCAAATATTTTGTGGACTTTCCCTCAAATGAGGCATATCTGGTGTTCTTCTCAGGATGGTATTTGGGGTATGAATTTGGTGAGTAAGACCTCAGGATGAACTGCCCTTCTCGTACATTTTACCAAAGGTGCAGTCTATAAACCTGATTCACAGTAGGCACTGATCTCAACTACCTGGGCTCACAGTGGAGTCTGACATTGATCACCTGGCTTGCAGTTTATGGTGATTTACAGTTTACTGAAAAGCGACTTTTCCCTTCTTGGTGTGCTACATTCTGGAAGAAATCATTATATCACGTAAGGGGGAAGAACTGTGCTGGCTCCCTTGAAGGTAGAGTGTCTATATAAACCCCTTAAATTCTTCAATGTGGGAGACTAGAGTCTTGTCCTTTCCTTTATTTAATAATATATCAGTAGAGAATGGACGCAAAGATATTTACTGTGTACTTTGAGTTCTAGCCCAATTTTACTTTATTGATGTCTTGGTCACATTGTTCCAGCTTTGGCCCTTGTGTTGGTTTTCTGTCCTCTTTGGATGGAAGCCTGAACTGTGTATTTCTTCTGTCCAGTATATGGACTTAGTTACAAGCCTCATTTGTTATAGCTTTACTTACCCTCATCTTAAAACACTCTGATTTCTATTTTGATTTTGCTCTTTGACTCCTGATATGTAGAAGTCTATTTTTTCAATTTCTAGGTAGATAGTCCTAGATTTCCTACCTATGGTTTTGTTGTTGGTTTCCAATGTAAGGCTCATGTGGTGTAAAGTGGTGGGGTTCTCATCCAGAATTGCGGAGAGAATTGAGTTTGTGAACTGAGGTATCACTGTATTTCTTTTTTACATAAAAATGTTTCTTCTATTAACAAGCAGTTTATCTCCAATTAACATAGCATTGCACACTTTTTTTTCCATTGTGCATGGTGCACACTTTGGGGGAGTCCTTCTACTCTCACATTTCCATAATTTTATTGTTTGTTCTTACTTTAAGCAACACAGAGTTACAGTTTGCGCATAAAGTCCAATCTGATATCCAGGTAGTCTTGTGTAAAAAGTTTACTTAGGTTACATCCTATGCGACGGCCAACATACTGACAATTATTTACATTCATAACCACCAATATTCTCCTTTTATTGATCTCATTTCTTACCTTTTTGGATTCAGAAAATGTTTTATTCCAATTATATTTTCCTTTTTAAGGTATTATCTATACATCAATATCTACTCACTTTGGTGTCTTCCTTAAATGATGTACATTCTCTTTTTCGTTAGACTTGAATTCAAAGTGTTTCCTTGTATTTTGTCTATATATTCCTACAGCATTCAAATGCTTCCTCTCTCTCAATCTCCTTTTCCCCAATGCATGACTTGTGTCATCCACTTTAACACATCCTGTTCTTTCAGATTCTTCATCCAAAGTATTTTATATAGTCACTCTTGATCATTAGTTACCCTCATAGTTTTCATACCTGACTGCCACATTCCCTACCTGCATTTCTTTTTTCTTCTTAAACTTATATTCACGGATCTCTTTAATTTTTTAATGTAGTTCTGGTAGCAAACTCTTTCTTTTCCCTTGCATGTGTCTATTTTCCCTTTTTTTACAGCAAGACAAAGTAATCAGCACGAAGAGACATTTCTGGATGAAAGTTCTTTTTTTAGCACTTTAAAGATTAGTCACTTGACTTCCATCCTTTCTGTTGAGAATTTAGATATGGTTAAGTGTTGCTCCTATGAGCGAGTGTCTCCCCCGCTTATAACATCTTTTTTGTCCTTTTATTTTTAAAGTCACTATGATGGAAAGATACTATGAAAAACTGGTAAGTGACTAGCAGGAGCTTGAGATGCTACAAGCAATCCACACAGAGAGCCTCATGAACTACAAAGGGACATAACTACAGTGATAACCTTTAAAAATAAAAAAAAAAAAACATTTATTTTATGGCTTCCTAATGCCACTAAGAGAAAAATCTTTTTTTTTTTTTCCTCATCATCTCATTGGGATCTTGTACCTTTACATAACAGGTCTTGGTTCTCATTTTTTCCCCTTGTCCCTGCCCTCCCTTCATCCCCTCCTCCAAGAGAAAAATCTTTAAAGTGAAATAAGATTCTTTTTAGTATGCCTTATCTCATATACAGAACATCATGGAGTGTGTTTCCTTGGAACTTGGGGCCACCTGGTGCTGCAGGACCATGTGAGGGGAGAATTAAATGCCACATAACAGGTCTTGGTTCTCATTTTTTCCCCTTGTCCCTGCCCTCCCTTCATCCCCTCCTCCAAGAGAAAAATCTTTAAAGTGAAATAAGATTCTTTTTAGTATGCCTTATCTCATATACAGAACATCATGGAGTGTGTTTCCTTGGAACTTGGGGCCACCTGGTGCTGCAGGACCATGTGAGGGGAGAATTAAATGCCTGGGGGTGGCTTCCCTGATGAAGTCCCCAGTCGGGAGTCTATGCTTTGTGCAGGAAGTCACTTCTGTTGGGACTGATGCAGAAGAGAGATTTCAATCTAGACGGAGTAACTTACCCGGGGCAGTGAGAAGCCACCTTGGAGACAGGTGATTGTTTATCATCCCAAGAGGAACCTGGTTTTCTGGACTAGGTAAAAGAACAGGCCCCTAGTGAAAGGAACAAGTCAGGTCTTTGGTGAAGAGCTGCTGGTCTCATTGGAGAGAGTACAGGTCCCCAGCAAGCTGAAAGAGCCAGGGAGGACAGCCAGGGGCCAGCTGGTGTGCAGGGCCAGGGGCCATGTGGAGAAACACTTAGCTTTTTGTGGGGCCCTGGAAACTCAAGAAAGGAGGCATCTGGAAACTTGGGCCTGAGCAAAGGACTGCGCTCTCCTGGGTCTACTAAACCTTGCTCTGTACTCATCAGACAGGTTTCTGGGCTGTACCACTGTGGCTGGCTCTGATGTGTGTGTCTCTATGGAAATAACAAGGAGGTCCCCAAAACACAGAGAAGGAGCCAACATCTATGTCAGTCCTGGCCAAGGTGAGCCTCAATGAGACCATTGCCTTTCTCTTCAGAAATGAATTTTTTCATTTCCAGCCATGTGAGTGGTGCCCTGTTCTATGTTTCTTCCCAGGGGGCACAGACAGGAAGATGCTCAGGGTCACCCCATAAAGACCCTGACCTGCTCCTGTCTGACAGGGTCCATGTGGGCACAACAGGGGTCTGAACAGGATTTTCCTTGTGACTGGGAGGTTGTAGAGCATGAATATATGGTTTTAAGACAACAAGGTCCAGGGATAAGTGGTGTGGTTACAGCAGCAAATGGTTTCTGTGACCAACTAAGAGTCCTGTGTGTCCCACCAAGTGCTCTGTGCAGACCCCTCCCATCACTGGGAGGTCACCAAGGCCAGGGGAGGTTGTGTATGGGACTAAGAGGATGAGCCTCTCAAAGGACATCCTGGGACACGGGCCTCAAGGTACAGTGGACTTAAACTAATGGTGTAACAGCCACTTCTGAGAATCATAGAGGGAGATCACACAGCTGATGGAGATGCAAAACAGGGATAAGTGGGTGAGCTTGGGAATCTGGTGGCTGTGCACTGCCTGAGATGCATGGCTGGGAGCCATTCTCCAGGAACATCTACTCAGACAGTAGGTCAGAGAGTGTCCTGCCCTGTAATTACTTCCAGAAAGGCAGAGCCTAGGGCTGGGGATTTAGCTCAGTGGTGCCACCACTTGCCTCGAAAGTACAAGGTCCTGAGTTTGCCCCCACCCATACCAAAATAAATAAATAAAGGAATGAAAGAAAGGAAGACCCTTAGGTCATCTGCTCTGGTGGGCCTCATGGAGCTAACACTGTGGCCTAGTTAAGGAAAGAGGAGCCTTGTGAGAGGGACCAGTGACCTATAATGTTTGTAGCAACCTCCTGTCTCTACAGGAGCCTTACAGAGAAAGACATCCTGCGCAGCCCAGAGCTGAGGCAGAAAATTCATCAGGGATAATCCTCTGTCTCAACTCTCCAAGACCTCAGGCAGGGGTGTGACCAGAGGGTGGGAGGTGGCACCTCTGTTTGCTCTGGCTACCACCACCAAGCACCAATTGAGCAGGTTAAACAGCACACAACACCTCACCATAGAGAAGTCTGTGATCAAGATCTGGGGTAGGGCAGCTGGCTCCTCCTGTGGCCTCTCTCCTCAGCTCATAGATGGGGGCTCCTGCCTATCTGTGTACTGATACTTTCTTGTAAGAGCTCTAGTCAGAATGGATTAGTGACCTCATTTTACCTAAATTATCTCTTTAAAAACTCATCTCCAAATACAGTCACATTCTCATACTGGGATTAGGGTTTCAACATATGAATATTGGGGACACAACTCAGTTCATAGCCCACAGTATAAAGGCTGGCATCCTATTCAATTTGGAGAAGGCCTGGGCCATCCCTGGAGCAGCATGTGATAAAGAGAGACCACGAGTTTACAACTTTTGTCACAATAAGAACATTTTATAATATAATAGAACTTTTCTATTAGTATATGTTTGTAACACAGAATGAATACATTCATTGTGAGGAGTTGGTTCATATACACATCATATCTTAACCCTTCTCACTTCCCTTTTTCCACTTCTCCCTCCCTTCTCCCTATTCCTTCCCCATCTGCTTAAGGTCTACCTCCCAGTTTGCTATCTTTTATTTTGCTCTTTAAATTATTTATACTTTGAGTTCCTCATATAAGAGAAACCCTGTGGTATTTAGCCTTCTGTGTCTGGTTTATTTCACTTACAATTATAAAAGACCAGTTTTTGAGGGAGTTGAGTTTTGTCAGAGAAGTACAGCAAACATCTGCTGTAGTCAGGGTTTTGCAAGGGAAATAGATTTATTACAGGACACATAATTTATAGGATTATTTATGATAGTCACCCAAAAAGTCAAATGCAGAGGAGTGTAAGAGATCTAGCTGTATACTACAGATCCCAAGAATCCAGTGGAGGGTCTGGATATCACAATAGTGTCCCGCACAAGTCCAGATGAAGGCCTAAAGCCCAAGACAGCATCCTCCATGAGTCCAGCCGGTGGCCTAGAGCCCAGGGCAATATCTCATGCTTGTCTGTAACAAGGATCTGCACCCAGAAGGCCCAAAGGCCAGTGGTGGAAGCCAGAAAACCAGCGCTGGTGGGGTGAAGGATCTGTGCCACCAAGCTGAGGGATCTGCACTGGAGCCAGGAAGTGATGTTCACCATGGACGTCAGGGCTTTCCTGATGAGAACAGCAGCCATTCCCAGTGGCCCTGAACTCCTCCAATGAGAACAGGCAAGTTCACATCAGGAAAACCATCTCCAGCAAGGTTCTCTTAGGAAATAAACATCCCATGATCTTCCCCTCCAGTTCCCTTTTTATGACATTGGCAACAATCCTCATGTGGGTCTTCTATGACCAACCACACTAACTCAGTTCAGCTGGGCATTCCAAGTTGACCATTAGTTAATCCACCGCATCGGAACAGCAGCTGCAGCCTCTTTTCTGAGCCCTGCTGATGACAGGCCATGGAAGCCACATGGAGCCCTAGAAAGAAAGGAAGAGAAGCAAGGCTAAGAGGCTGAGTTCAAACACAGCCACCCTGGGAACCTGGTCCCAGGTGAGACCAAAGCTTGGCTTCACTGGGGACATGTACCAAGACAGAGAAGGCACAGAAATGACAGAGGTGAAGGGGAAATTCTTTGAAACTAAGTGCCACTGGATAGTGGTTGTGAATTATTGAGAGGGGGGTGGTGCCCGGGGAAGACTACCTGCTCTGGGGTATCCTCGGCCAGTCCCTCACCCCTTCCCTGACACAGGGTATGATGGGCAACAGCTTCTGTCTCTCACATAGGGGCAGGCACTGGGTTTCTTAAGGCCCTGGGATTGTGGGAAGAGGGAGGCCATAGTTGGGGATTGACGGAACTCATTGCCTAATGGGGTACCTGTTTGACACAGTCATCAGGAAGGGGAGTTTTTGACCACACAAGGCTTTAGAGAAAAACCGTCAGGGCATCCAAAGCCCATGGTGGAAGGAGGTATCAAAATCACAATGCAAATCAAATTGGACACGGGCCAGGGTCATGTGCTTTTCATTTTGCCTATCCCTGGAGGATCTCAGAAGAGGGGACTGAATGACCTTCATCTGTTGGTTTACTGATACTTTGCCATAGTTGTCCTTGCTCTGTCTGGTTTCTTGATTCTTGCCACATGGCTTTGTGCTATTTTCTTGTCTCACACATACAGAAGGATAATTTCCTGGAAATTTTTTACTTTTCCTCCCTTAGCTCTCAAGAGAGTGTCTTGAGAATTCTTTACTTCTTTCTGCTCCTCTGTTCCATGGCTCCCAGCTCCAGGTAGGCTCTGCCTCCAGACATTGCTTTTCCTTCTCCTGTGAATCTCAGGCAGTGGGGCCTCTAGCAACCCAGCTCCAGAGGAGAATGCTGAGCCTCCCAAGCCAAATGTCCTGGGCACACTTCACTCAGGCAATGAACTTGTCACATATGAGGCTTTGTGGCTGAATAATTGTCATCTCATAGATGTAACAGAACTGTCACATAAATGTAGCGAAACAGTCTAGCCAGACACAGAAGGTTAATACAGCATGGTTTCTCTGATATGAGGAAACCCAAAGTATAACTATACATAGAATTATCCAAATTTTCAAAATTGCAAAATGATTTACAATTAAAAAAATCTATGAAGTTAAATATCAGAGCACACCTGGGTTACTTATTCAGAAGCATCCCAGAATATATCGCTAGGCCACAGGCTGTGATTTGCTATTTTTATGTCATTATAATTATAACATTATTATAATGTGTTATTACATAGTATATTCATGTAAATTCATTAACAAGTAAAATTGAAGAAGCAAAAATTTGAATTTATTTTAACTGAATGTAAAAGCATAAAAACTATATATGTTTTCAGAGCTGGCCATTGAACTCAGAACCTTATGCAGGCTAAGCAAGCATCTTGCCAATGAGGTATGTACCCATCCCTGTTAATTTTATTTTGAGGCAGGGTCTCCCTAAGTTGCCCAGGCCTGAATTTTCAATCCTCCTGCCTCAGCCTTCTGAGTACCGGGGATTACAGGATTATACAAAACTATTAACTGTGTGCTCACTTGGTCAGCACATATACTAAAGCTATTAACTATACATGTTAAAACTGGCTAAAAAGTATACATGTTAGTGAGGTACTATGTAATATTTCAAAACATGCATACACTATGTAATGTTTAAATCATGTTAAACATGCCCATTTCCTCAAGCATTTATCATTTCTTTATGGTGATACAATAAAATTGCCCTCTTCTGACTATTTTGAGATATACAGCACTGTATTGTTGTGCAACCTCTATTTGCCTCTTAATTTTTTTTTTTTTTTTTTTTTTTTTTGGTACCGGGGATCGAACTCGGGTCCTTGCGCTTGCAAGGCAGGTGGCTAAATCCCTGATTTAGCACTGAGCTAAATCCCCAGTCCTCCTCTCTGTAATTTCCCCATGCAGGCACTGACCCAGGGAATTCTCTGCAAGGTTTCTAAAACCTAATCCCAAGGAGACTGATTTTACCAGGAGATGCTCTGGGGCTGAACAGGTCAAGGACTGACCCAGGGGATGCTTTGTAAGGTTCCCGCATCCTAATTCTTACTCCTCCAGCCCACAGGGAAGACCCATAATGGGAAACACTTACCTCATCCATACTGACTCTGCTTAATGCCTTCTCAGACACTGGGATAAATTCACCCTTCCCATAGGCTACCTTCTTACCAGCATGCATAGTCAGTGTGCCCAGGAGATAAAGGTTACCTCTTGAGCCCACCCCATAATTGGTTGGGATCTGCCTACCATAAGGTCCCAGACACAGGAAGCTAAACATCTAAGCCTATTACCATTCTTCCCCTTCCAAAAGTGGCAAGCGTGGATGATACCACCTGAGTTCAGGTCCTTTTTTTCAGTCATTCAAGGAAAAACTAGGTAAATTTTCTGAGAATCCTGAAAAGTTTGCTGACAAATTCCATACTCTGAAAACCTGACCTGGTGAGATGTCCAACTCATCCTTACTTCTTGCTGCACAACAATAGAAAGAGAGTGGATTATCAGAGCTCCAAAACAGGTCAATGATGAGATCTTTGTGACTGCACCTGACGGTAATCAGCCAACTGATGTGTTATTTGGGTTCCAAGAATGGCTTGGATGAGATTATAACATTGGATATGGATAAACCAAATGAAGGTCATACCTCTAGGCCATCGTGGTTGGTATGTGCAAGGGTATGTCCAGGCCTATAAATGAAGAGAAATTGAGGACTGTCAGTCCAGGATCTGATAAAAATCCAGCTGCTTTCCAACACTGGCTTGAAGAGTCACTCTGTGAATGCACTAATTTGAACATAGAGTCTAGGGAGGGTCAAATTATCCTGCACCAGTATTTTATTATGTCAGTTCCAGGCATTAAAAGGAGGCTCCCAAAACTCTAACAGGCTCCAATAAGCTGGGATAAAGTAATTGGTCAATGCGGCTTACACAAAATTCAGTAAGGAAAAGAGATAGGCTAGCGCCATGTTGGCCCTAATAGACATGGCTCATAATAAAGCCCACGGCACCAACGGGAACCAGGGTAATCCAAAGAGCGAGAGAGACAGTCTGAGTGCTTCAAGTAGAAGCGATCAAGGCACTGGGCAAAGCAATACCCTCAAAAGCTGCCAGGTCCTTGTTGGACCTCTCTGATCTTGGATGAGGACCCTTGGCATTAGAGGAGCAACTGCCCTCCTTCCCAGAAAGGGATGAAGCCATCTACCACCATCGTGGCCAGGCAAGAATGCATGGACAGTGACAGAGAGTGCCTGAAATGGCCTGTGTGGCCCCTGCACAAGACAACCCCATCACCTTGCAGGAGCCTTGACTAACTCTGGACATAGCAGGTAAGCCTTCTCAATATGGGGCATCTTAATTCAGACCACTTATGGGGATGAATCATCCTGTTCCTCAGTTGTTATGGGCCTTGAAGGAGGTAACTGGTTAGTTTTCTTCACCCCTAGTCTGAAGTACTGGTTGTTAGATTCCCTTTTCCAAGCTGCCTTCATGGTAGTACCAAAGTGCCCCACGCCAGTAATTGGAGGGATATGTCTTCCTATTCAGGGCCACTCTCATTCAAACCTCTAGCAACCTGTGTCTTAGTTGTCAGGGACCCAGCCAGCCTAGCTCCATTGGGCCTGATTTCTCTGCCGGTTGATCCTCAAGCACAGCCAGGGAAGGTTGTCCAGGCCACTGTGATAATCATTCAGCTCAAGAACCCTAATGTATACCATCACAGAATGCAATGTTGCCTTAAAAGAGAGGTTAAGCAGGGACTAAAGCCCATTATTGATAATTTTTTGGCTACAGGATTGCTAGTGCCATGCCAGTCCCTGTGCAACACACCCATTTTACCATTGGGAGAATCACCTAGTGCAAGATATCAGAATCAGTGAGGCAATGGTGCCTGTTTACACATCCCCCATTGCAAACCCATGTACCCTTACTGCACAGATCCCAGGAGACACTAATTCTCTGTCCCTGATCTCAAAGATGCCTCCTTTTCTATTCTCATGGACCCTAGCTCCAATGCTTGTTAGATTTACCTCTCCAGGGTAAAACACAAGCTATCCGAGGCACCAGTAAATGAAGGAGACCACGAACGTTATACACCTACGCACCAGTAGATGGCCTCAAGTGTCTTTTCAGAAAAGAAAACACTCAGCAACCTGCTGAGTCAGATATGTAAAACTTCCTCCTCTCCCCCTAGATGAAAGGGAACATCAGCCCCATCGTGGACAAAAACATCTCTGAACACACAAGGGTAAAGTTATTCCAAGGAAGACCCTCCAGTTGTGTTTCTAAATTTATATCCATGGGAGGATTGCTCTTAACCCCGTGACCAGTGTTTGCTGTTTGCTGTCGCCTGCCCCCTATACCAGATTTTTAGAGATCTGTGCTTGAGGCATGAACAGGGTGAGGGAGTGTTCCCATTATGCCAGTCCCCAGAGGAAAGCTCGCCCTCAAAGCTGGCAGATTTCTGCTACAAGTGGGTAGTTGTCATCAGTGTGGCCAGACAGGAAAACCCACAGCAGCGTGTGGCGCCAGTGCAGTTGTAAGGTAAATATACCTACAAGTGAGCCCCACCCAGCCCCTCTGTGCCTGAAGGGCATTACTATGTCCTGTGCTAGTACGTGGTATTTTGTCTCCCAGTCCATTCTGTATTCCGAACATGTATGAAACTTACACAGCTTTCAGGTGGCAGCCATCCCAAAATGCTGATGGTGGGAAGTGCCAGTTTCATTATGCCTTTCCAGACACAAGGGGGCGTAAGTTCACAGATGTTCAGCTACCATCCAGGTCACGCCATCCCACACTGTAGTGCTCCTAGGTCAGGATTCATTTACTGTTGCTAAGGCTTTGCTATGGTTTATAACCAGATGTTCCCCTAGAGCCTCAGGATCACAGGTGGGGCTTTGGGATGTGATCGGATCATGGGGCATGGGGAATGAATCCACTGATGATCTGATTGATAATTCAATGTGATGTTGGGAGGTGACACTGAGAAACGTGTTCATTTTTCCAGACCCCAAAAAATGGTCTTTAGAGGCAGGAAGGGCAGCAAAACCAGACTTTTATTTTTTATTTTTGCAAGAATGGGATACCAGCCCAATACACAGATTGACACAAGCAGAATGGTCCCAAAGAGTGCTATAATCCTAATGCACAGTTCCCTCCTCCTCCTAACACAGCTCTTTCCTCCTCGTGTTTGTTGGCCAAGTACTCGGAGTTACAGTCTATTCAATGGGCACCTAACATTTTTGCCCCAGTCCCTCTGTAAGCAATTTGTGGGTTTTAAAAAGCAAATGATTCAACTGCAGGGGATAATTTTTTAAATTGCCAGTGCCCTTCCAGAGTTTGTATATGAATTCCATACTTGACCATTGACCTTCCCTCTTTTGTTTAGAGACCTTCTCCTATGTACAACCTCAGTCACACCCCGGGGGTAAAAGATTTCCTTGAAAACAGACCCATTTTAAATTTTTCTTTCTTATAAATTCCCTCCACTTTTCTTTTTTATCAAATTTTGTCTCATTTTTACTGCAGATTAACACTTGTTCATTAATCTGATTTATTTATTGTGGGCCACCAAAAGACAACTGACTCAAACCCAGCAGCTGTATGATTTCTTTTTCTTGTCTTGGATTTATTAGGGAATGTCCCTCTTGAAACTCCAATTGAGCTGGAGTCCAACTCAATATATAGATGTTGGAGTTACAGGGTCCTGGCACTGGCCTCTTACTTTGGTGATGAGGCATCTTTTTTGGAAGCTGATAAAATGTCAGAGTGAATGGTATTGTCAACTGAATCAGGGTACAAGTCCCTGGCCAGTTAGATGGTTGGTTATGAATGTTTCTTTTTCCACAAAACCACCAGATATCGGCCTCGGGTATATGGAAATTTTGAGTAGTTACTGCTGTTTGGCTCACCAGTGAATTTTGGTGCAGGTGGTGAGTTTCCCCACTGGTCTGTGAAACTTTGGCCCCTGTCTTGAGAGACTAGAGGAATGATTTCCTTTTCTTATGCAGAAAGGGAAGAAGGGACCAGTCTTGGGTCTGATTTCTGAAGTGTAGGTAAAAGCAGAGAAAAGCTTTTACAGGCCTCATTTCCCAAGGCCTCCCTGTCATGGTAGAAAGCCAACCGGTAGAGCGTTTTTTGAGGGTCTGTATGTCATCCAAGAGGAAAATAGAACCACCTGAGCCTGTGGGCATCAGCCTGAAGATTTAACCCATTTAACTCAGGTACTTGTATTTCCACAGCCGATCTCAGTCTCTAAAGTTTGTCTCAGGTCTTCTGCCTTTTAGGGATCATTTGCTGGCCATGGAGGGGGTTTAGTTTGAGAAGGAGTGGATGTTGTTTTTTTATTTACCTGAAATAAAGTTATTAATCACTCTAAGAGGCAGTCTGCCCACAAGGTGTCTCTTTACAATATCTGCTCTTAACCCACAGACCCTGTTTGTAATTTCTGGATTTTTGCTTGGAGAAGTTGGATTATTAATCTCTTTACTAACATATATCAAGTCCAACCCTTTTTAACTGTCTGCATGGCCACTGTGGTGGGCAGGAGCACTTGATAGGAACCTTTCTAATTGGGCTGTAGCTTATCTTTTTTCCAGGCCTTTATTAGCACCAGGCCTCCCCGCCTGGAACTGAGGAAAGGTAAACTTGAGCAGCAGTGTCTGAGAAAGA